ACCAACTTTCTCCTAAATGTAGTACTGTACAATTTACTGCAGTATTTATACAGTCTTTATTTAGTACTGTACAGTCTTTATGTAGTACTGTACAGTGTACTGGAGTCCTTAAAGTCTTTGTGAAGTATTGTACAATGCACTACAGTACTTTTACAGTCTTTATTGTAATATTGTGCAGTAGCCCTTTTACAGTCCAAATGTAGTAGTGAAAAGTTTACTGCAGTCCTTGTACAGTATTTATTTAGGTATACAGCCCATGGGCCATGTACATTTCATTAAGTTCTGTTCATTTAGTCCAGTGAACCTCAAAGTCTTTTTTCAGTGATACACACGTAAACTAACTACACCAAATAATATCATATTGAAAATCTGCAAAAACATAGCGTAAAATTTTTCTATACTTACACTTTTGAAGACTCATGTCTTCAAGAGTTGAAAAACCAAGTCAATTAGTTTTTACTAAACTCAAGTCTAGCCAAAAGTCTAGTCTTGTGATAAGCATATAGAGGTTAAGACTGTGTTTTACTTGGGTTTAAACTTTTAAAANTTTTATTCATCAGCCCTGTTTTCTTCATACCATCAACGTTAATAATGAAATAATTTAAAGAGAAAAAATTGTTTAGATCGCGTTCGGACAGGAATAGTGATTCAAGGAATAATAGAAATGATATGGGTAGTTCTCCGATAAGGTAAATATTGTCAACCTAGCTGTAAAAAACAGACAAACTTTTGTACTGTTTCCATGCTTTTTGAGATATTGGTAGCCGTACTTTAATTCCTAAAACGTTTCAGTAAAATTTTAAGGAAACCCTCCCCCCCTCCCGCAACACTATACAATTAATCTTTCAAACCTTGCTTAGTGATAAATTTGGTTCGTTTTTGGCTATATTTTTTTTCAAGGTCAAAAGGCAAATTGTAACAAAATTATAAACTTTTTTTTTACACTATAAGTTCAGCACTAACCTTGCATTGGTATTTATTCAAAAATGATGTTGCTCAGTTCTTGACGTCAAAGCACTTATGCTTGAAGGGGGGGGGGGTAATGCATTTTGATTAACGAAACTTGACTTGATGGTGATTTATCAAGTCTAGAAATGAAAGACCTACTTACACATGCAGCAATCTATGGAATATTTTCAGGAATTTAATTATTTATGATTTGTTTCCAAAATAGACCACATTTATACGATATGAACCCTTTTTCATTTTATAATAAATAACATCACTTTTTCATTTAGCACACAATGAAATATGATAAATACAATACAAATAAATGTATTACAATACAATACAATGAAATAAAATACAAGATGGGTTTAGCCATGAATGTTGTCTCCTATCTTTCTTGTATCCGGATCCACAGTAAAGGATATACATGGATCCTGCCGGTCTACATTTTGTGCACAAAACGGGCTGGGTGAACTTTACAATGGATTATTATTATTATTATTAACATTTTGTGCACAAAACGGGCTGGGTGAACTTTACAATGGTTAGTCTAGACTGTTTGGTACGACTGAATTGATATAGGTTATGGTTACACTAGACTGGTCAGAACGACTAAATTCATATAGGTTATGGTTAAACTAGACTGGTCAGTTCGACTGAATTCATATAGGGTATGGTTACACTAGACTGGTCGGTAGGAGTGAGTTCATACACGGTAAATTTACACTAGACTGGTAAATTGGTATATGACTTAAACAGGGAGAAGATTGAAAGAGCACTTACCAACTTTCTCTTAAAATTTATGATCATTGATTATGATAAAGAAGAAAAAGGCTTCCAATTTGGTTGTAAAATTTATCAAAATATACGACATTTTCTAAAACTACATATTTTGGTTAGCAGGGAAAGTTCTTCTAATGCTTTTGTCCTATGTTTGTACAAGCCAGTACATAACTCGGCTTGTCTTATGATTGTACAAGCCAGTACATAATTTGACCTGTCCTATGTTTGTACAAGCCAGTATATAAATTGACCTGTCCTATGTTTGTACAAGCCAGTACATAACTCGGCTTGTCCTATGTTTGTACAAGCCAGTACATAACTCGGCTTGTCTTATGTTGGTACAAGCCAGTACATAACTTGACTTGTCTTATGTTGGTACAAGCCAGTACATAACTAACTCGGCATGTCTTATGTTTACAAGCCAGTAAATAACTCGGCTTGTCTTATGTTAGTAAAAGCCAGTACATAACTCGACTAGTCTTTTGTTATGTACTAGCCAGTACATAACTCGGCTCGTCTTATGTTGGTACAAGCCAGTACATAACGGAACTAATCATATGTTTGTACAAGCCAGTACATAACGAAACCAATCCTTGTACATAATTAGTCCAATATTTAAACAGGCCTGTATATAACTAATCTAATGTTTACACAGGCTGGTACATTACATAACTATTCCAATATTTCAAGCCAGTACATAACTAGTCCTATGTTTACTTTACACAGGCCGGTATATAATGGAAGTCAGGTTAGCCTGCGGAGTATTTATGATCAAGAAAAAGAGGAAAATGTGGAACAAAAAGGCTCAAGAAGAAATTCTAGGTGAGAGAATTTTTAATTTTTTGAAATAATAAGATTTTCAATTTTTACTGTCAAAGAAATTTTTCAATTTGCTGGAAGCTCTTCTTAAATTATCTAAAAGTAACATTAACAAAAAATTCGCGTTCTTAAATTATCTAACAGTAACATTAACAAAAAAATTCCCGGATTTATAATTTTTTTGGTGGATTTTGAAGAAGTCAAAAAATGTATAGGCAATTTTTTTAAAATTTTGATTATCCATAAACCTTTCCAAAGCAAAAAACTTTAGAATGTAATATCCTTAATCCCGATCGGTCAATTAATCTGGAGATTAATAACAAGAGGAGAACAAGCATAATTTAATCTCAAGATTAAGAAAAAGAGTGGATCAAGCATTAATCCCGATATCCACCTTTCAAAAGTTCCCAGCTCTGGAGGCATGTGACTGTGAGGTTCTACAAAAAATTTGCAATATATTTTGTTCAACATTTTACAAAAAATGTATTTTTATTATTGCTAAGAAATTGTTAGAGCTCCGTCTTTCATTCAACGCACCATGCGCGTAATTCTTTAGGGCCTCCGCCTCAGGCTCATTGTAAACGCAATATCCATAAATCTTGAAAAGACGACATCTAGTGTTCTTATATCAGGCCCAATTTTGTTCTGAACTAAATTTAACTAATTTTATTCATGTTCAAAATATGATTACTTAAGTAAACTAATAAAACTAAATTTCTGATTTACTCAAGATATAATAATAATTAATATAATAATAATAATATAATAACCTCCCTTCAGGTCTAAAACCGGGCTTTTATACTAATAGCTCGAATCCTTAAGCACACCTCCTGAATGAGGTGTGCTTGACAAACTAAATCTTTTTTTTACCATTTTTCAGATGTTAGGTTTGGATAACTTTCAGCTTTTCTGAAAGTCTATGACATAAGGAAACGAATTGCACAAGTTTTGCAAAGAAATTTTTGCAAATTTTTTGCATACATACAACCTGTCAAAAGAAATTTGCACATTTTTAGTTTCAATTTTCAAAGTGATCCCATGGATATATTACTATTTGACACAGCTTGTAAGGAACCCATGGTACCATTGTAAATCGGGAAGACACATATTAATCTTTATATATATCAATCCTATTAAATTTTAGGATAGACTCGAGTTTTGGACCTCAAAGGGAACCAGAAGGTAAATTTATTGTTTTAAAGACTCTATTCGTATTTGATCGTTAAAGGCTCTAAATTACGTTTTTCGGGACTAATCAGAATTTTTTAGTAACTATCGTTTTCCTACAGGGGGCCCGTAAAAAATGCAACTTTTTTGATCCAAATCGTTTGCTTTTTTATTAAAAAACAATTTGAGACAGACTTGAATAATTTCCAACTGCAGATTATGACGATTTAAAAGATTCCGATGTCGCTGTGTGTGACCAACCCTTATTTTCAATTCTAGAATGTGTTACTTTAATCGGAAAGTATTAGAACTTGAATGATATGAAATAACTAAACATTCCTTTTAAAGGGACCGTCAGCGCAATTTCAAGTGTTTCATTTTTAGGTTCGCGTTTTAAACCTTCATCAGATAAATCTTTATTTTCCTGTCTAAAAATTTAAAACTTTTAGTTTTTGATTTTTGTAAAATAAAATAAAAAGAATTAAATACTTTTTAAGATGTAAAAAGAAGGATATCATCATTAATATTGATAATTAAATTTCAAGATTTCAAGATTTCAAGATTTCAAGATTTCAAAATTTTAAGATTTCAAGATTTAAAGATTTAAAGGGTAACTGTGCAAATTAGGCATTGCCATCTTTGCATGAAGGACCACTTGAAATTTACCTCATTCATTCAATTCATTGAAAACATGTTACTAATTTTACAAAATAAGCTTATTTGATTAAGTTTGAAAGTTGAAATTGAACTTTAATATTTATACTTTTAACGCAATGTTTGAACAGTCTACTTTCAAATGAATTATCTTTTGCTTTAAAACAATTTTGGTTTTTCATATTAAACAAACGAATTCAGTTACAAACTCTAATTTCCTAATCCTAATGCCGTAGACCTTTGATATTTCAAACTATGAATTCTGTTAGATCAAATTATCTAAGTTTGAAATATCAAAGGTTTACATCATCAGGCTGAAAATATATTGGGATTAGAACATTTGAATCAAAGGATCAATTCTTTTATTAGATTTCAAGTTAGAGAAAAACTGATCCATTAACCTCATAACTGCGGAGACAAATATAAGAATTTAAATCTTGTTTTAATTAAAAAAATGAAACAAATTGGTTTTAGCAATTTAAAAGTATATATGATGATGTATCAGTAGCTTGAAAATCAACAGGTTAAGTGAAATGGGTCTGTGTACACTGCACAATCGGTGTGTTTAAATGTTCCTTTGAGTATTAAAACTCATAACTTGAGTTCTAATTCCTATTCCACAGTTTTGTACGGGTACACCATTGTATATTATTCTTTTTAATTAATTTAAAATATCAAGATTTGTAAGTTTAATATATATTTTGTATAACCATTGGCCTTCAATCCTTCTTAATTCATGAATAATTAAAGATTTGCTTTTAAACAAATTAAGATATAAACTTTACATGAAACTGATTTAAATTTTAAATTATTTTAATTATTTTACAAACTCGCTTGAGAACCCAGCTTTGTCTAAAAACATTTTTTATAGCATAAAAGCCAACCTACTCAAATTGGAGTTTTTGCCAAATCGGCCAAGGAATTTATGAGTTACAATTAGACTTACAGACAAACAGAATTTACTATTTTCTATAAATACAAATATACAAGTTTGAATAAAAATACAGGGCGACTGGTAAACATCCCACGAAACTACCAAAACCGGAAAAAAAATTTCTGGAATCTTGAAAGGCATCCAACTAAAACGAAATTTCCGAAGAAAAAATTTAAAATAACTGAAAAACGTTTCCGGAAATCTCGGAAAAACAAAAACACAAATAGGCCATTGATGGAATGACAAACTCGGAAAAAGACCCTTTACAGAAGTTTTCTATCTTTAACTGTTTTTATTCAGTGAGATATGTATCCCGAGGATGTTCTCCCATAGATTTTGATGAGATGAATGACAGGTATAACAGATTTGTTTCAAACACTGCCCGGGTATTTTCAAATGACAAAAAGTTGTATGCCCATTGTCCATGATGCATCAATATCACGTAGGATTAAGGTCAAATTGAATTTGAACTGGACCGTCTCCTTGTACTGTCCTGACTGATGCGTGGCATATATTTGCCCGCCCCCTAATCCCTATCCTATGTGGCGCAGTCAAACTTTTTACTGTACCCCGAATAGATTATCAAGTACAATAGGTGAAGAAATGGACCAATTATACACGACATCATAATTGTGTCATATATAACAAGCAAAACGAAGTTTTCCCACATTATTTGACATGTTTTATAAGATTAAATAAAAAAGTTTTAAAAAAGAAAATAAAGAACACAAAATTTCACATATTTCACCGCTAGATAAAGAATTTATTCCAAAATTATTACTATTATTAATAATTTTGTCGGACACAAGAACTAATTAAAAACTTGTGAAAACAGACTACACAGACTGCTCATACACTCTACCTGGATAGGTAAAGCAGGCCTATAGTGTCCCAGCACGCCATTTTACGATTGCATGTAATTTTTTTTGACTGATACCTCACGGTAACTTGTTGCATTCAGGGGTTAAGTTTTACAACTTTTAAAGAAACTCTCCATTTTTAAACATGAATTTTGTTTATTTTGAAGATTTTGCATTTCTTATCCAAAGGATTCTTAAGTAAGGATCCTGATTTGTTGTGAACAGTACTTAAGTACACAATAGAACATGCTGTGGAAAATATTGCATATCATAGGTTTCAATTGATCTCTGTTACTCTCTTATCTCTGGTTGTGAAGTAAGAATACAGCTGTACTCAGACTGCACAAATTCTACATTGCCATCTATTGTACTAGAATCTATTTGTACCTGATTTTTCATGTAATAAATATAGGGTAATATGATATTCTGTATATGTGCATGGCGTTGTACATTATTAATGATCGATGTTTGTAAGATAAAAAAACCATTTATTCATTTGAATTGCGTTCTAAATGAATATGTAGCAAATATCATTTAGGGATATTTGCTGTTGTTAAAGATAGTTAATAAGAGTTAATAGGGTCACCATGAAAAATGTTGGTCGTTAACGTTGAAAATAAAAGGGCAATTTTTCATCCAAAAACAAAAAATATATTTTTATTAATTTTTGTTTTGTTTTAAGTGACAATGATTCACCAAAAAGAAGAAAATCTACTGACACATCGTACTATCGAGATAAAAGGTAGTATTTAGTGAAAACATACTTTGATTTACAGTTTACCTACGAAGGATTTGTCTATTTTATTTGGCTTTTTTCTTGCATTAATGATTCTGATGTAGACTTGTTTCTATCGTTGAAAAATCATTAAAAATACCATTTTAAAACATATTCAACACATATGTATTTTAATCATCTTAATATAACCTGGAATTGATTTGAACTGGGAACATTTAAATGGAAGTGGGGAGCTAATTTAAACCAATTCTATAACAAGTATTATTAGCTTTCCTCCTAGAACTTAAAGGATCTCTCATTGGTTAATTGATCGTAGATTTCACCAATGGGAGATCTTCTAGATTGCAGGTAGTTTAACTTGTCCCTGACATTGGCCACATGCCATCATGTAAAATTTTTATAGAAAATTTTTTAATGTACAGAACCCATAGAGATCATTTTTTATAATGATCAAAACTACCAATCCCTAACATAATAGAATAAATCTCTTTAGTGATGACTATGGAGCACCCCCGAAAGGTCGAGAACTACCCAGCACGCCGCCAGCAGAGCGGAACGGAGGCTTCTCTAGACAATCAGAGCGGAATAGGAGCTTTTCTAGGCAATCAGAGGAGAATAACAGTCCTAATAATGACTATGGGTAAATCTGATTTAAATTTTCTTGTAAAGGACTTGTTTAAGAAATCGGAGAAAATGGCTTTATTGATTATTTTCTAGAGATGAAAATGAGATACCCACAGGCCGTGAAATTCAAAACACCCCGCCGTCAGAGCGAAATTCACGGCGCTTCTTCAAAGATGTGGAAGATCCTAAAAATGAGGACCAAGACCGTAAGTCCACATCAGGAAGTCAGGGCACATCAACAGCTGAAAGCAGTAGTAGTAAGAGGTGGGGAGGGAAGGCGGATAAGAAAGATTATGAGAGCTCAAGTTTACCAGATAGTGTACAAGGATCTGGTAAATACAGCAGGTAACAACCCATTCCGTATACTTTAAAGGGAGTGTTAGCGAAAATGAAAGGGGGAATATGCGTACGACGTAAAATTGTCGATGGTGATCACTTCTAATCTTACTTCTATTTGTTGCGTCCATAATTAAGGAGAAAATTGTTAAAAACGACTTTTACCGATTAATGTAGCGTCCATACAAATTCAGAAAATTGCAAAATGCAACTCAGATCGTAAAAAATTAATTTAATTCCAACCCAAATCATTCAGATATTACAACCTATAATCATCGATAATTTTTCCATGCATTCGTATAAAGTTGATATTTAATAATATTTTTTATTTGTTTTATACACTTAAAATGACGTTCTTTCTGCTATAGGTGTCTCTGCCACGTGAAACCATTTAAAGCATCGTGAGCAGAGACACCCGTCGGCCAACTATTTCAGTGTTTTAAGTGCATTGTAAGCAAAACAAATAAAAAATATTATCAAATATCAGCTATATATGTTGCAATTTTTTGAATTTGTTTGGACGCTACATTCTTCAGTAAGAGTCGCTTTTAACAATTTTCTCCTTATAACCGCAACAGATAGAAGTAAGATTAGTATCGATAATTTTTCGCCGTATAAGCCTATATCCCCTTTAATTTTTTGTGAACACTCCCTTTAATGAAGGCACAGTCATTTAAAGTTAGGGTTTCCAGCAGAGTGAATAATTCGTTGCACATAAACTCAACATTTTGCACGCAAATTTTGCACGCAAATTTTGCACGCAAATTTTTTTCTTAATCCAGCGTTTGCTTGGTCAAAATAGACATTTTTTAAGTCAATGAAAACGGTTCAAATTTACCTTAGACATAGACATTATAAATTCCCTAAAACAATTGATCAATGTACCGGATTTGATAAATTTCTCTTTCTGACTGTGAATAAAACTATTAAAACTTTAAAAATTTAAATTCTTATTTTTAATTTTAGATATCTTCAAGAGGAGAAAAAGACGAAACGATCGTCAAGGTAAATTTTAAACGTTTTGCCTTTCTCCAGTTGAACTTGGGTACACATCTAAACCTTTCTCCAGTTGAACTTGGTACACATCTAAACCTTTCTCCAGTTGAACTTGGGTACACATCTAAACCTTTCTCCAGTTGAACTTGGGTACACATCTAAACCTTTCTCCAGTTGAACTTTGGTACACATCTAAACCTTTCTCCAGTTGAACTTGGTACACTTCTAAACCTTTCTCCAGTTGAACTTTGGTACATATCTAAACCTTTCTCCAGTTGAACTTTGGTACACATCTAAACCTTTCTCCAGTTGAACTTTGGTACACTTCTTAACCTTTCTCCAGTTGAACTTTGGTACATATCTAAACCTTTCTCCAGTTGAACTTTGGTACACATCTAAACCTTTCTCCAGTTGAACTTGGGTACACATCTAAACCTTTCTCCAGTTGAACTTTGGTACACATCTAAACCTTTCTCCAGTTGAACTTGGGTACACATCTAAACCTTTCTCCAGTTGAACTTGGGTACATATCTAAACCTTTCTTCAGTTGAACTTTGGTACATATCTAAACCTTTCTCCAGTTGAACTTTGGTACACATCTAAACCTTTCTCCAGTTGAAACTTGGTTACACATCTTAACCTTTCTCCAGTTGAAACTTGGGTACATATCTAAACCTTTCTTCAGTTGAAACTTGGTTACACTTCTTAACCTTTCTCCAGTTGAAACTTGGGTACATATCTAAACCTTTCTTTAGTTAAAACTTGGGTACATATCTAAACCTTTCTTCAGTTGAAACTTGGGTACATATCTAAACCTTTCTTCAGTTAAAACTTGGGTACATATCTAAACCTTTCTTCAGTTGAAACTTGGGTACATATCTAAACCTTTCTTCAGGTAAAACTTGGGTACACATCTAAACCTTTCTCCAGTTGAAACTTGGTTACACATCTAAACCTTTCTCCAGTTGAAACTTTGGTACACATCTAAACCTTTCTCCAGTTGAAACTTGAGTACACGTCTAAACCTTTCTCAAGTTGAATCTTGGGTACATATCTAAACCTTTCTCCAGTTGAAACTTGGGTACATAACTAAACATTTTTTTTCAGTTGAAACTTGGGTACATATCTAAACCTTTCTTCAGTTGAAACTTGGGTACATATCTAAACCTTTCTTCAGTTGAAACTTGGATGTTTACCTTGCTTAAAATAGTTTGCCCCCTATACTTTGCTTGTCTGTTTGTTTGAATCCAATAAACGTCTTTACGGCTGAACTGATTGGGCCCACAATTTGTGTGGGAATCACATTGCCCCAGGGCAGGTTTAACAAAATTTTAATTTCGTATTTTTTATTTTTTATTTTGTGTCCAGGTCTAGTTCCCAGAACCAGCTGTCTAAACCATCGGAGGAAAATGCTCTAATGCGTCGTAAGTCATATGATGCAAGTGTCAGGTAAATAAATTTAAGTTTTTAAACAGAACTTTTATTATTTTGGGCACAATTAAGAGTGAGAAAAGTTTATTTATCAGTTCTTAAAGGTTAAAGCTGTGCTTTTTGAATCATAAATGTACGTAATAAATTTGTAAGACCTCAAAATAGTTGTGTATTTTTTTTTCTTTTTAAGCAATTATCATACTTTAACTTAACATAACAAGTTTATTACAAATTTGAAATGTATATTTTTGTTTAAGAACAACGATTAGTCTAGAGACACCCTTGAGACCAACTTGAGATTAAAAACTCTGCAGATAGAATTGCTGGAAACATAATTGCTGGAAATGCATTTACAAGAAAAATCATCAAAGCAATTCTTAGCAATAGCATTCATAGAAATCCTTTTTCTACCAATACTGTCGGAAAGGATTTATTTTTCCCCACAATTATGTCATTAATACATTATATAAGTGCAATTTTTTATATTTTTTATTTAAATATTAATTCATGTTTGTGCACTAAAGTTTAAAACATCTAAATGGGCTTAAATAGCATTCTTATTTTTACGTTTCATAAATACAGCTTGCTGCTCTTGTACAGCTTGTTGCTTCTGTACAGCTTGCTGCTCCTGTGAAGCTTGCTGCTCCTGTACAGCTTGCTGCTCTTGTACAGCTTGCTGCTTCTGTACAGCTTGTTGCTTCTGTACAGCTTGCTGCTTCTTATTTTTCATATTTTGTATTTGTAACATTTAGATTTTTCCATCCAATTCACAAAGGTACTCTGTAAACTTCTGATCAAGTATAAAAGATATATCCTTATTTTTGTAGCTAAAAATTAATCATTTCTAAATGTGTTTTTTTAACATTGAATGTTGCAGATACAATGAAACGACGATATAAATCCCTCTTATTTTTTGTCATCAACTTTTAAAGGGACTGTAAGCGTAGTTTCATGTAATCCTCCATGGAAAGATACCTAATTTACAACTGTACACTTAAAACTTTGTCTGATCAAGTATGAATTAGATATCCATGCTTTTATTCATTTAAAAATTGGTTATTTACATTTGCGTCTTCTCTGCAAAAAGTTATTTGTGCATTTCTTGAAAAAATTGAGAAATTCGCAGAAATAAAAACTTTTCGAGAAAATCAACGTTATCTCCCACATTTTTTTAATTACATAAATTGTTTAAGGGTACAGTTGTAAACAGAGCATTGTTATCTTTGCATGGAGGGTCATTAATAATTACGCTTACAGTCCCAGCTTTAAATGTAGAATAATCTAAATCGATTTAATTAATTCCAAATTAATTTCATGTACTCTGAAAATAGCATATTTGTGAAATTATGAAAATGGAGTTCAGTATCGCAATGTTAAGTTATAACAAAACTTTTCGATATCCCGTAGTGCAGGGTGTCATCATTTATCCTCCAATTAAGTATGCCCAAATTGTATATAAAGATCAAACATTTAAGATTAACGATTAACGATTCCACGGATAAGTTCCGATCTCTATCTTCGACATAACAATTCCAGATTATAAAAGTATGTTTTTATTGCAAATTCAAGTTTTTTAGCAAAAATGTGCAAAAACAAAAAGTGCTCAAACTATGATAAATTATACATTTTTGCAAAGCTCTTGACCCAGCGAACTCAATTATGCAAAAACATTTACAAAATTTTCAAATCCCAAATGTGTATGCAAGAAAACCTAAATTTGTGCAAATTCCCTTTAAGGCGTATGTTCAAAAATCTACGTAAAATTTCTTTTCAGAAATTGTGCAATCTGCTTTTTTGTTATAGGCTTTCCAAAGAGCTATTAAATGTTGAAATCCAATCACTGGAAGTAGGTTCAAATTTGGATTTAGTCGGGTATAGGTAAAATAGGGCATTCAGGCAGTAAATGCCTGAGGACTCAGGCAGTAGGTATAAAAGCCCAGCTTTTATACCTACAGACTCAGACCAATACTTTTTGAGTTATTGTTAAAAAACGACACACTCCTGTATGACGAGTCCATCTATCTCATTATTTAATTAGAGATATGAATCCTTCAATCGGTGCTATCAGTAAATGGAAATATTTTCTTCTTCTGAAACTATAGTGAGGGGGGGGGAGTCGCAGTGAGTTATTCTTCAAAAACGACGGGTGGGGGGCTTACCGTGACCCCCCTCAGTCGGAATAGGGTTAAAATTGATGGAGAAATCAAGAACTGTTGTTAGATGATAATTGACTTAAAAGAAAATTGATTCCAAATACTTCTCTGATTTCCTAAAGTCATAACCAGAAAACTGTGGAATAGGAAGACGACATTACAGCAATTCTGAAGTGCATTTGATGCTGTTTAAAGCATATAGCTTTACTTGAAAGCAATTAAATCACTTATTAGGTTAAATGAGTATATTTACACTGCACAATTACTGTGCCTCATGTTCAGTGTGCTATTAAGAGTCATAACTTGAGTTTAAAAGTCGATTTCCTATTCCAGAGTTTTCTGGTCATCACTGGTTATCACCCCGGGTTTTTGACCAATTGTTGCAATATAAATTTAGTCTCGAAATTTCATTGTGCAACAAAACTTGGGTTATCAAAAATATTTGAGTGCTGTGATAAAAGGGCTCGGAAATACCAAGTTTTTAAATAAGACTTGTTTCACCCCTTTGATCTTTAATTTAGAAGGCCCCCTCCCCAATTATATTCAATGTAGTAGGCCCAGTTTAGCGCAGTGTGTACTGTGTATGGTTTGATCTAGATCCTTCTAGCTGTTGGAAGATTAAATTAAACCAGTTTTTAGGTTTTAGGGTTTTTGGGTTCTTGTGTTTTACAGACAGCGTTGAACTATTCACAAGAAGTATACTTATATTTTCTTTATCTATACTTAGCTTAAATGTCTCTCTGTGCGTCTGTATGTATCGAATAAACGTCAAAACATCTGAACCAATCGGGCCCAAATTTGTTGTTGCAACTGATATCACTACATGACACCTAGCAAAGGTTTGTGGACGGTGATATATGGATAGGTGACTAGTCGGATATATGGATAGGTGACTAGTCGGATATATGGAGAGGTGACTAGTTGGATATATGGATAGGTGACTAGTCGGATATAAGGATAGGTGACTAGTCGGATATATGGATAGGTGACTAGTTGGATATATGGATAGGTGACTAGTCAGATATATGGATAGGTGACTAGTCGGATAGATGAACAAATGTATATGGATAGATAGATAGACAAATAGACAGATATGGATGGATAAAAAGAATAGATGAATAGGCATGTATGTAATAAATATTGGGTAAACATGATATTCTGTAAACCTGAAGTACGTTGTACTTACTAGAATATCTATGTTTTTAAACTTTCACGTAAAACCCATTATTCATTGAAACTGTGTTTCAGAGTACAGAGCATGATTAGCTTAAATCATGTGATGTATCTAATGACAGACGTCTCAATTGCGCCTATTTCAACTGTACTGTCATGTGTAGCATGATTGTCTTAATCATGTGATGTAGATAATGATGTAGGAATTGTAATTATGTCTTTTAACTTTAACTTGTAACATGTAAACCTCAAATACATTAGTGGATACAGAAACTCAGCTTTGATTACAGTGTTGAGAGTAATTGGGTTTTCTTTGAAACATACGAGTTGAGATTGTGTCCTGGTTGAGACATTGATCATTAGATCGCTATTGTCCGGTTGACATAGCAAACGGGATCGCGCCCAGTGGTAGTGGCGTGGATAGTTCACAGGATTGTAGCTGTGAGACATTGATCAATTGATTGCTTGTTTTGGTATTGACACCAATAGCGTTAATAGTGTTAATTTGGCATTGATAGTTACAAGCTTCCGATTGATATACATAGCTAACGAGATTGTATCCAGGTTTAAACATTGATAGCTGAGTGAAACTGAACTGCACCTGGAAAGAAACCGGTTCGAGAAATTGTTATGTAGTAGGCGTTTAATACATATATATAGATAGATATATAGATATGTAATAAATATCCTATCAATTACATTTTACATTAACCTAATTACGATTCTAAATAATGTCATAGGATCTGTATTGTGATTAATCTAACTACGCCTATACATCGTACTACGCTTTGAATAAGGTGTTAGAGTAATTTGTTTCTCATTTAGCGAACGAGAGGGTACCTGAGTCACATCTTGAAAGATAGAATCTAGGCTAGGAATTGTATCTTGTAGTATCTTGTGAGACAGATACCTGAGATTTTTGATCATCCTGGATTGACACTGATCTAACAGGATTTATTGGAGTAGGGCATTCGCTACAGATGGATAGATATATAGCTAGATAGATAGATAGATAGATAGATAGATAGATAGATAGATAGATAGATACATAGATAGATAGATAGATAGATAGATATATAGATAGATAGATAGATAGATAGATAGATAGATAGGTAAATAGATAGATAGATAGATAGATAGGTAGATAGATAGAATGGTCTGCCTAATAATACCCTATCAGGATTCAAGCCTATAGTTGGCCTGCAGCCTTGTAAGCAGTAATGCAACTTATGAAGTTCTTCAATACTGGAAGTGAACTGGACCTTACTAGTCAATGTGGAAGTAAACGTGCCTAAAGGGACTGTAAGCGTAAATTTAAGTGACCCTCCATGCTAAGACGGCGGATTCACAACGGTACCCTCAAAACCATAATCTGATCAATAATGTGGAAGATGAATGTTTAATTCTGATCATTTCTGTATTTTTTCCCGCAATAGAAATGCGCAAGTCACTTTTGTAAAGAAACCACAACAAAAAGATATCCGTTTTTTTCAAATGAATATCTAATTCATATTTGTTCAGACAAAGCTAATGAATCGGGAATTGCCATCTATTTACGTGAAATTACGCTTACAGTGAAAGTTTAAAGGGAGTGTTCTTCGTTATTCAGTGTTATCTAAAAGTTTCCTAAATGATGGCCTAGTAATCATTATCTGAGAAACGATAAAATCACGAAACTTTGATTTAACAATCTTGGCAACCCAATGCCGTAGACCTTAGATATAGAAAGTTTGCTATTAATCTTCATGACAGAAGCAATCTCAAGAACTGACGAGGGTCAACCCAGACCGAAATATATTTTCAATAGAATGTGAAACTAACATCTACTTTTTTTTTACTCTACAGAGGTTTTGTCCATCACCATCACCGAATTTTATAATAAATATTATAAGATATCAAAAGTTTATTTCTTTGAAAACTTTAAATATTATTGATAAAAAAGTGATTTTAACGCAAGGAAGGAGCAAAAACAAATTAAAGGAACTGTAGCCGTGAATCGGATATGTCACTTTCTTTTTATTTTTTAGAGTCGGTAGAAATTACATTACAGTCACGAAAAATTTGCCCCTTTGGTAAAAGTAAATTCAACCTATATAAAGCATAAAGCCTGACTGCGTCAACCTTGTGGCACCGGCTAGCCCTGTCCATAGAGTTAGGTACAGTACAAATTGGGACCGAAAAGTTTGACCCGGCTCGGAAATTCAAATGTACTCTTTAAAGGGAGCTATCACATATTTTAAAAAGCAGAAATTAATAAAGTATAAAGCGATGCAGAAAATGTTCAAATCTAGAGATAATCAAGTTTGAGATATGTCGCAAAGCTTAATTAACAATTTTGGTCAATGACCGCCTAATAAAGCGCACGGTGTCAACCACATTTAGGGTACACTAGACAGGCTGGTACGAGTAAACACTTTAAAAGCAATCCTTGTACTCATGCCACTTTTAACTTTATTTGTGTTGACGCTTCTTCTAATCTAATCATGTAAAAGACATAATTTGTTATCTTTCTACCTCTAATCACATAAAATAGACATTTTTATTTTTCAGAGAAAATGTTGATCTTTTACCTAGGCAAACAATCAATAAATCATTTTTTATTGAAGATCACAATTTCAGCGACTTGATCAAGATTAGCAACATGATCAAGATCAGCAACATGATCAAGATCAGCAACATGATCAAGATCAGCAACATGATCAAGATCAGCAACATGGTCAAGATCATCAATATAATCAAGATCAGCAACATTTTCAAGATCAGCAACATGATCAAGATTAGCAACATGATCAAGATTAGCAACATGATCAAGATTATCAACATGCTCAAGATTAGCAACATGATCAAGATCAGCAACATGATCAAGATCAGCAACATGATCAAGATCAGAAACATGATCAAGATTAGCAACATGATCAAGATTAGCAACATGATCAAGATTATCAACATGATCAAGATTAGCAACATGATCAAAATCAGCTACATGACCCTTTCTCTTCTATGAATAGAATAACAGATTGATATGTTTTTTGGTCAAATGATCAATTTATTTTTCATTGATTAATTAATTCCTTTATCTATTTAAATAGTTGAAAAAAAACTAAATGATTAATTGATTAATGGTTTAATTGATTCATTGATTTATTGATTAATTGATTGAATAGCAACATGGATTCTCCTTCCCTGTATCAAGGTAGGAAAAAAGCAATTTTAAAAATTCTTTTTTATGGATCACTTACAATACCTTTGAAAGGATCAAAGTTAATGCATAATGTAGTGTCAGTGTCATGCTAACAAATGGAGGTTTTTGAAAATCAACGCAAGAGTTCGTTAATGAATGGCGAAAAATCCGTTAATTAATCGTTAATTAACATAAATAGCCGTTTATGAAAAAAATTAACCGTTAAATAAAAAAGCAAAATGAATTTTTTCTTAAATAACGCGACTTTTTTATGTATTTTAAGGTTTTAAAACACTGTTTTCTGATATTCTCTTGCTCATTTGTTGAATTATAAAATTTTATCCATTTTGATGTTTTGAAACATGTTTTTATTTTTGAATCATTAACGAATCGTTAACGGTTGGAACCGTTAACGATTTTTAAGATATCTGCCATTAACGCCGTTAATAATATTGAGATCGTTCAGGGAAGGTAATTTAAAAAACAGAAAATACCGTTAATGAAACGTTTTAAGCTAAAACACAAACATCTCCCTAAAACTTTTTTACGGTTTTAACTAACTGTTAACGAACTGTCAACGAACTATTAACGAACTGTCATCGAACTGTTAACGGAACTGATAACGAACTGTCAACGAATTGTTAACGAACTGTCAACGAAATGTTAACGAACTGTTAACGAAATAATAATGAAATTTTAACGAACTTTTAACGAACTGTTAACGAACTGTTAACGAACTGTTAACGATCTGTTAACGAACTGTTAACGAACTGTTAACGAACTGTTAACGATCTGTTAACGAACTGTTAACGAACTGTTAACGAACTGTTAACGAACTGTTAACGAACTGTTAACGAACTGTTAACGAACTGTTAACGAACTGCTGCAAGGAAAAGGTTAGAACGTGTATTGTGTAAACTTCTATTTCTCAGTTGATCAAGAGAAAAGAGTTTCAATTTGCATAATTATACATTATACAAATTTTAAAATAACTTTCTGTTTTAATTTTAAAACTTTTATTACGAAAAACTTTTTGGCACAAAATCATTTAAGGTCGCTATTTAAAAGACTTAAAGACTTAAAAATTAGTCTTAAGTCAAAGCTGCCATTCAGACTCACTATTTTTTCTTCGAGTTTAATTAAACACAATCACTAAATTGGGTCTAACTTTGAGAGATTTAAGCTTTAAAATTGCTGCAGCATGGACTCTGGACAGTGAGACAGAACATGCTTTAAACAAAAGCATTTATCATCATTTTTACCTAAATAAACGTTTCCTTGTTCAGGGACAAATTTCATTTGGAAATTCTGAACCAACGATTGATGATAAAGCCTGTACTACACCTTTTCAGAAGGAATAGAGATTATTTAGGCGAAATTAATTTAGAAAATCAATATTATTATCACTGTATTTTTTCCCGCAATAGAAATGCGCAAGTCACTTTTGTAAAGAAACCACAACAAAAAGATATCCGATTTTTTCAAATGAATATCTAATTCATATTTGTTCAGACAAAGCTAATGAATCGGGAATTGCCATCTATTTACGTGAAATTACGCTTACAGTGAAAATTATTATGATTATTATTATTATTATTATTATTATTATTATTATTACTATTATTATTATTATTATTTTTATCATTATCATAATTGTCTCTTTAAGCCGGGTCGCTGTGTTGGTTTGAAAGATTGTAATAATATTGTTGTACTTTTAAAGCGTCCAATCCCTGACCCAGTGTCTCAATATCTAAGGTAATACTTTAATTGTAGGGTTTCCAGTCGTAATTACGCATGCGTAATTACACCGTAACACTTTCTTTCACTTACGGAGGAGCATTACGCAAAATTACATTTTAATCACGTAATACAAAACCATGCTGTAATTAGTAAAGTACATATTAATTCTCAGAAATGAATATAGCGGGAAAATATGTGTAAGGATATGCGCACTACAACCATGTTCAATCTGATTGGATAATATAAATACTTTCAAATTGAAGTTTCACTAATATAAATATTAATAATTATTGCAACATTTCGCAAAATTACTTTGTTAGAAATCGGCGTAATTTTGCGAAATTACCTTGCAGAAATTGCGCAAAATTTCGGCATAATTTCGCAAAATCAAAGTTTTGCATAATTATTACAAAATTTTGCTAGATTACCATGTAGAAATTATGCATAATTACCCCCAATTTTGCAAAATTGAAGTTTTGCCAATTATTGGTAATCCTGCAAAATGAAAATTATTTCACGAAGTGAACGTAGTTTTGTGTAAGTGAATAATCTATTACATTGGAAACCCTATAATCGTTCTTTTTTTTAATAATATCTTAAATTTTAATAAAAATTTTAGTGATGATTCTATGGTGATAATCATTTATCTCAACTTACTCCTTATACAACAGTAGCGCATTTTACTTCTACTCTGTAATCTTGGAACCATGTGGAACATATGCAATGATGTAACTACAAGAATTGGAAAAATTTTAATTTTGATCCTTTAGATCATCTGTCTGTAGTTTTACGGGGTTTCTTCCCGATGTTTGCTGTCCTAGTGAGATACCAACCTTTAGCAATAAAGGTAAAAGTGAACTGATTATGCATTGTTTAAACTGAAACACTTTCAAAACTTAACAAGACATCAAGTTTATTGTTGGTTCTTTTACCCAAATACACTTAAATAATATTTTTCAGTTGATGGTGGTTGGTCTGAGTGGACAGACGTTGGAGTCTGTTCAGCTGTCTGTGGCGGAGGCACTCAAGATCGTTCCCGGATTTGCAACAATCCCCCACCGAGTGGTGAGGGTGCCACCTGTCCAGGCTCAGCTGAAGAAAGTGTTCCATGTGCTGAAGAACCATGTGGTAACTCAGTTTTCTTAAAGATAGATGTTAGAATCAAAATAATTTGTTGTTCAGGAATTAAATTTATTGAATTTGAGCTAGATCCCTAAACCACCTCCTGCTGGTTCAAATTATAAACACTGATTTAATGTTAAAGATTCATGAGGATTTGAATCTGTCATACAGAATTTGAAATCAAGGAAGATAGTTCATCACCAATTCTAGGCTAATGTTAACACAATTAGAAAAAAACTTACCATAACTTTGATTACTTTGATTGGTAACAATGTGTTACTCGTGTTACATTTCAAGATATTAAACTTATTAATGTTACAAAATTCAAATAATAAACTATATGTTTTTAACAAAAGATTCAGCCAACTATGCCAACTAAATGTTTATTGGATTTTGAGTCCAAATATTAGGCATGTTATGCTTTAAGTTATCATATAAGAAGATACATGCAGAATTAATGTTAAGAAAAAAAATTATTTTAGTTAATGGCAGCTGGACGGAATGGACTGGCTGGGGTGAGTGCACTGCCAGCTGTGGTGGTGGAACGCATAAAAGATCACGGACTTGTACAGCTCCTGCTCCTGGTGAGGGTGGAGCACCTTGTGATGGTCAATCGGAGGAAGAGGAACCTTGTGGAACAGAAGCTTGTGGTAGAGTAAATTAGAATTTTCAAAGAAAATGTATAACTTGATTCATTAAATTAGCCCTAAACTGTGTACTTTAAGAGTATCCAAATGAGGGGAAGGGGGAAAAGGGGGCCCCCACACTAATAATCTTCTGATTGGCAAAATTCTTGGACTTATCCTTTATCTTTAAGTAGTTTTTAACCAAAGAACTTTGAAAATCATCTTTTTCAGTGCTACAAACTTATGCTTATAAGTCTGAGAATAAATATAGTCATTTAAGGGAACCTTTGAATACAAAAAAATTTGTGTCATAATTATTTGTTTTATTTCTACCCTTATAAAATTTCATGAAGAATTGCTTTCAGTGGTTCCTGTGAATGGTGGTTGGACTGAATGGAGTGTTTGGACTTCGTGCTCAACCACCTGTGGGTCAGGACAGGAAACAAGAACTAGGGGTAAGTGCAGAAGTACAAAACAAAAAAATACTCTAAATAATTGGCAATTTTATAAATTATTTGCTGAAGTCTGCTATTTAATGATTATTATACATTTTTCTTTACTACAAAGCAGTTTTAAGTAAATAAAGTTTTGATCATTTCATTATAATTTAAGTATTCAAAAAAAATTTTCAGCAAAATTTATTTGAATAACTGAATCATCTTTTATTTAGGATGTAATGCCCCCCCTCCAAGTAATGGAGGAGACCCATGTTCTGGTGAAGCAACTGAGTCTAAAGAATGCAAGGTTTATTTAAGATCTTTATCAAAACCCTTTACCGATTCCAAATAAAGTGTCAGAAGATGAGGATTTTGAACTCAACTTAAAAATTTAAGGTTTAAATCTTAACAAGCATGGCTAGTAACTCTTTAGCTATAGTCAGAAGCCCAAAGGAGTTAATGCCTGGTTTAATTACAAGACAGAGAAAGAGCACAGCCCAGAAAGTGTCTTAACCTAACATAATTTAAAATATATACTAATCTCTCTTTCTTGTAATTCAGAGTGGCAAGTGTGCGTAACTCCTTTAGGCCACTGACTTAGACTCCTTAATTGTTTGCTGGGTAAATTTATGGGTAATAATTTATAACATGATAAGACATTGGACAGAATTGCAACATACACGAGGAAAATCATCAAGAAATATTTAAAAAATATAACTAGCAGAAAAAGGGATAAGGGAATTTACTTTTGATCCTGAGGGGTGAGATAACCTACTTTTCCTATAATACCCTGAAGATATACAAAGTCCTTAATTTCAAAAAGTTTATCATTTCTGACATCCTAAGTAAAGGTTCTGTAAGGCTTTTACAGAACCAAATTGAACCAGAATATCTTTAACATTCTGTTTCTATTTTCATACTAAATGTGTGAAATTTTGAAATGCTTTCTGAAGTTCATATTGCAAACAAATATTAAGTTTTTTATCAGCGAATTTATCCAGTTAAAAGGAATGTAAGTGTAATTTCAAGTGACCCTTCATGTAAAGATGGCAATGCTCGTTTTTCAATGGTACCTTGAAACCTTATTCTGATTTTAAACTGTGGAATATAACGTTGTTTTTCTGACTCATAAAGTGTTAAATTCTGATAATTTCTCCACTGAGGAACAGAAAATAAAAAATAAAAACATTAATGATAAACTAGAAATGGATATTTAATTTAAACTTGATCGGAAAAAGCTTTTGAGGACACCACTGTAAATTGGGCATTGCAATCTTACAAGGAGCATCATTTGAAATTACTCTTACAGTTCCTATAAATGTTGCAAACTAGATTGCTGAGTGTAGAACTCCAATAGAACTACCGGGACCAGATGTCTGTGGATCAAGTACAATTGGATCTTCAAGGATTGTAAATGGTAAGTTTCCAGGGGTATATTTTCTTGAGAAATCATTTACACCCCCCTTTCAAAAATCAATTTTCCCACCCTATGTTATGTATGTAAATATTTGTTTAGGTTTTTTCACTGAATTGTGGAAAATAAATGAATTTTTGGGTAAAAAGTATCAAATAGATCAAATATACTTTTTGCATATGTCCCATCTTTTATTTTTCTCCCAAATCATAGGGAGGGGATGATTCTGAAAAATGTACACCCCTGTATTGCTGATCTTGAATGCTTGATCTTGATATCTTACTAAGGCATTCTTAAAAGGATTTCAAAAGGAATTCAAGAAAAAAGTAGGTCAGCATAAGATATATCACAAGATGCGAGCAACACAAAAGTTTTGTTAACCGAGTACGTTTCTTGTAAACCTAAACCTAAACCTGCCAAACAGAGGAGAATCCCTGTGAACTGTTCATGTCCACATTAATTATCATAGCAAAAGATTCCAAAGAGGCTTGAAAACTGGTTTTTCTTATATTACTTAGTTTTGTGTTTTTTAAGATTTCTACGCAAAATCTTATTACAGATCATTAACCTAATGATATTGAACATTTTGTTAAAGTTTATTCATATTCTTGGTAACTTTTTAGTTTATTGTGTTTTTCCATTTGCCCACTAGGTGGTCACAGTACAGGGAAAGGCGTTGAAAGTGGCATAAGATGTGCCAAACCGAAGTGTGCACAAATTGTTCAAATAATTAATTAATTTTAATTTTTAGGCAAGCCTGCAAGATTAAACAGCTGGCCCTGGATTGCAGCAATAGGTATACATTTAATTTAAGCTTTATATATATTAGTTTCAAATGTTTTAAATTCATTCTGATATTTATATAATTATGTTAGATGGTCAGTAAAAGTAAATTCTTGTATAAGATTGAAATTCTGTGTTACATACCAGTCAATACTAGTAATGGCTTATACTAATACGGGTCCTGCTATAGTATGTATATAGTGTTATAGACCAGTTGATGCATGTACTGGTTCTGATTCATCATAGGTTGGACTTCCAAGTCGCAAACCAATACTAGAGTAGGAGAACAAAGAAATCAGTATGTTTTAATCTCTACGCTAAAAAAAGGTGGAAAAGTTGTATTAAGATGTTACAATTAAAAGTTGAAGCCTTTGACTGAAATGAATAAATCCACAGAGAGTAACGAAAAATGTATTTACAGCATAAAAAACAACTAAATATTTGATACAATCAAGCAGAAGCTTTAGACGGATGGTCTGCCTTCCTTCAGCCTCATATGCATGAGAAGTGGATAGAGAAATTACATAGGAGCATAGGACTGGTCTGGACTATAGTCTCTGTAGACTCTCAGCACAGGACTCTTGCCTCTCTGGACTCAGGTCTCTCAGGACTCTTGCCTCTGGAATCTGGACTCGGGCCGCTGGACTCTTGAACTTTTGATTTTCTGGGGTCAAGATGATTTTACACATCTCCAGTGATGGTTGGCTGCATGCTTACTCTCTTAATCCTCCTGCCCCTCCTCCTTCTAGGAGCATAAGGGAGATGGTTGCTCCTCTCCAAGGCTTTAGGGGTAACTGCCTTTATTTAGGAGTTAGAAAGGTTCGGATTTTGGACAGATTTTGTAGGCCAGTAGATACTAGTGTTGGATTGTACTGGTTCCACATATGTAGGACCAGCCCTCCTACTTGTATTGCAGAAAATGTGCTGGGTCAACTACAAATCTAGAACACTAGACAGGCTTGTACAAGTGAACATTAGGCTGTTATCCTTGTACTGGTTCGGATCATGAAACAATTGATCTTAAAGAGACTGTAATCATAATTTCAAGTGACCCTCCTCCATTCCAGAGATATGTGTGTAAAGTTGCCTAAAAACTTGCAGTCAGCTAAAAATGCCATATGCACAGTCTCAACTCAATACAACTCAGCACTAACCTGCATCCAGCTGAATGAAAGCATTTAGTTATTTTTACACACACATAATCACACTTATCTCTGGACACGACAAACACACAAAGTTTTGAAGGGTACCATAGTTAATCAGGTTTTCCCCTCTTTGCAATGAGGGTTACTTGAAATTATGCTTACAGTCCCTTTAGGTCGTTGAGATTATGCAAGGATTGGTGTATACTCTAGGTTATGAGTTGGATCCTGGAAAGATAGATTATTTGTGCGGAGGAACACTAATATCTTCCAGGTCAGCCATTTTTTATATACAAAGAAAACATGATAATTCAGTTGAGAATAGTAGTTAAGTGACAGCTTGATTATTGCATTTGATCTTTAAAATAATGCTGAATTCCTGTTTTAAACCTAACTCTACAAGAAAAAATAATCATTAAAAACCTCTAGTCTTGAAACAATCAACATATTACACGCTTGCAGCTCTATTGGTTGTTATTGCCATACTAAATTTACAAACATGATCTAGAAACTGTTGCTCAATCCTCATGTTTTTTTGGCACACCCTGTACAATACAACGCACAAGTGTGCTGGGTCAGAGTGTACCTGGTATTTGTATCTAGACATGTCATAACTGCTGGCCATTGTATCAGGGATGATCTGAAAGTTGTTCTGCTAGGGGTAAGTTTTCTAAAATCACCATGACTGTGACTATAAGATGTCTCAAAAAATTTTTTTTAACTTTTTAAACTTTAATAAGGGCGAAATCTGGGAGTAGGGGCTGTGGAGGACAAGCCCCCCCCCCCCTGAAGAAAAATGAAAACTATGAAATTCAGAGGGGATTCTTCCCTCGACCCAGCCCCCGCCCTCCCCCTATAAATATCAGAAAAAGGTTTTTATCATAATAATGGATACAAATCATTTCATTAAAGGCAAGAGAGAGGAAAGTAAATCTAGCGCCCATGTAACATAAAGAACTCTATCGTTAGCTGGCCAAAGGTTCAAATGATTTAAAGTAGGATTGAGGTGTGCTAGTGATTGAGAATGCTTGATATCTACTCATTAAGAATCAAGATTGTTTTTTGTTTACATGATTCAACTGTTTAGGAATTAGAAATTGACAATGACAATGATGGCGCTTCTCCGGAAGTTGTAAAAGTTACTAAAGTCACGCTGCATGAAAACTATAACGGCAGGTAATGGAAGACGACGACGGGGGTATTGTGATAAATGAACACATCAAACTGAGGGAAAGGAACCATGGTTAGTTCACATATATGACAACGTTCCGACTTTGAAAATATCTCATCAAATGACGTTAATTTAAAATATGATCTTTCATTTAGACCAATGTCGAACCCCTGTGGATCTAGTCCCATGTGGTTGTGCGACATGGTCTAGTTTTCTAGGTCCGACCAAATAGTGAAGTTTAAGTATGAAAATAATATAGTGTTGATTTGATAACAATAGTATTATGCTTAGCAAAATAGTGAGAAAAAAATTACCATCACGTTACAGGCTCATGGAAAACTGTGTAAATATTTCTCGAAATTACTTTTTTCTATTTTATAATTAAAAGTTGGGTCTAAATTAAGAGCTTAGACTCAAGGCTAAACTTAAATAAATTGCTGTATCATGGAGCCTTATCTCAATTCAAATTAATCGAATTTCTTATTTTTCAGGAGTTTTAACAACGACATTGCAATGCTAGAGCTAGAGAAGGATGTTACTTTTAGGAATCAGATTTATTTTCAATGGTCCTGTAAACATTTCAATTTGTGTAACTCTGCTATTCTTAACCCTTAGATAATAGGTCTGAATGTGCAAAAAGGCTCATTGCCCGAATTTTCAAGGCTAGATAATTAAAAAAATAGTCATTTAACTAACACGGTTTAGAAATATTGCAAAAAGTGTGTCGAACAAATGTTAAAAATAGAAAAAATTATTGGTACAAAAATCTAAGTGCTCTTCAAATATGTTGATCTGTACTGTCTGTAACTCAAATAATAAAAAAGGTATGAAATTTTAAGATTGTCTCACTCACAACTATGAGTTGCTAGACCAATACAATAGAGTCTTTTTTGGGTTAAAGCGACTCTTTGATTTGAAACGAACGGCTTTCTTTGATATTTAAGATATCTACAATAAATTGGTTCGTAGATTAATTTCTTAAAGAATATCATTTTTCTAAATAGTAGAAGGGTCACAAAAAGGTTACCTATATTTTATGATACAGTGATAATCATAAAACAACGGAATAAAGACGACATAATAGCAATACTTGGATTTTATGTTGTTACAGAGCAAATAGTTTTGCTTGACACTTGACATTAGATCACTAATTTTGTGAAATAGGTCTTTTTACACTGCCCAATTGCTGAGGTTAATGGTCATTTGACTTTTTAAAGTTATAACTTCATTCTTAAAGTCGTCTTTCTATTCCAGAGTTTTCTGGTTATTACTGTACATAAAGTCTGTATAGCCCAACTTTGGTTTGATCTGGAAAATATTTAATTAACTAAATGCTGTGACTGGATTTGATCTTGGCTTTTAAACTCCCAGCGCAGAATTTGAATAGAAAATCTGCTTTGTAGAGCAGGGATCAAACCGATTTGTTTGACAACTAATCCAGATCTTGTGAGAAAGGTAATTATTATTTTTTTAAAGGTAATTAAAGCAATGCATGTTCAGATTCCAACTTTTGCTGTGAATTTTACGATTAAGTATTCACCTTCATCTTTTGTAGACCTACAGATTAATTTGATTTGTCTTCATTCGAAGAGATACATAGCTGATGGATCATAGCATTTATCCTCAAATTCAAAATTCCCAGATTGTATATAGTATATAGTATATAGTATATTGTATGTAGGGTTCACAATTTTTTTAAAATCTCTTTCGAAAGATTTTCATTGTTTATAATTTTAAAGAGCTTCAGGAAAGCCTTTAAGGGTCCAAATTGATCCAAATTATGTGCTCAGATCTATAGATGATTTTTTTTAATTTTAAAAAATTATTTGTTACACAAAATTTCCTGGTAATTTTATGCTGAATTCTAATTTGAAAACCATTTTAAAAATCATTTAATTTCTTATTGTTGCAAAAATCGTTTTCAAATTTGTATTCAGCAAATGTTCTAGCAAAATATTTTCACTTTTTCTAACAAGTCAGAACGTTTTAGGATGGTTACTTTATAAATGATAGTGCTATGGGTGAAAAAATTGATCTTTTGAAATATCTAATCTTGTGGAAGACGATACCTGGCCGCCTAAACAAGTTCCACAAGATTCACCGGAATGAGATAGAACGGATACGGGGCATTGTACTTTCAGTCTAACGCGTGTGATCTTGATATTAACACATTTTCTGAACCCTCTAGTAAAAGTTATAAGAAATATATATACTGGAAGTTACTTTATTCGTTTCATTAGAAATCGACCTCACGTCCTCTATAAACTAATTTAAAAAATTGTTTTAAGTTTGATAACACCGCCGTTTTCATTGGAGGCTGGGGGGCAGTTAACTTTAAAGGTATTTTTTTTATTTGTTAATTTTTAAATTTTTAGTTTTTTAATTTTTAATTTTTTGATTTTTAATTTAACAATAATTTTAAATCCCAGCAAAGTATAATTTTTATTTAAAAGTACTGCGCTCTGGATCCTAATAATAAGGTTTTTTTTTTGAATATTTTGTTTGTTTATATGTTTTCTTTCAATAGTTATATGCGGTGAAGCAAAAAATATATAATGGTTAATTAAATAGACAGATAGATTAATAGATAGACAGATAGATAGATAGATATACAAAATATTGGTAGATAGATAGATAGATATATAGATATACAGATTGATAAATAGACATACCAACGGCTTCAATCAGAATTTATGTAATTTTTAATGAAAAAGTTCTCAGTTTTACCAAAGGAATTGATTTTTGGCCACAAACTCAAATTTTCTAATCCCTATTTCTTTGAAACCTTATGGTGTAAACCTTTAATATTTCAAACTTAGGCTTTTTGATCTGTCAGAATTTACAGCTTGAAATATCAAAGATCTACGACATCGGGTTCCACAGATATAGCGATTATAATTTTTAGTTTGTGGCAAAAACTCAATACCTTTAACCCACTCTTTTTATATTCTATTGTAAGATGGATTCCAAGGGGATTTACGTTGCTACTACGATAGATATTGATATGATATTGCGAATGCAACGGATCCCATCGCAATATAAGTCTAATTGCTGGAAATTTTCTTCAGTTAACACTACTGTTTTACTGTTTTTATTTTATTTAAAGATTGATGCGTGTTAAAGAGAGTTTTTACATTGCTATTACGATAGATAGTTATATTGCGAATGCAACGGATCCCAATGCAATATTAGTACTAATCGCTGAAAATTTACTTCAATTTACACTACTGTTTTACTGTTTTTATCTTATTTAAAGATTGATGCGTGCCAAAGGATTTGTGAGTTTTAACATTGCTACTACGATAGATACTGATATTGCGAATGCAACAGCTCCCATTGCTATATTAGTCCTAATTGCTGGAAATTTTCTTCAGTTAACACTACTATTTTACTGTTTTTATTTCATTTAAAAATAGATGCGAGCCAAAAGGGAGTTTTTACATTGTTACTACGATAGATAGTGATATTGCGAATGCAACAGCTCCCATTGCAATATAAGTACTATGCGTTCGTTATTTTCATCAGTCTTCACAGCGATATTACTGTTTTTTTTTTTCTATTTTAAGGTTGATGCGTGCCAAGGGGATTCCGGAGGACCGTTAACAGCTCAGGAGTTTACCACGGGTGTTCCAAGTAAGGTTTTATGAACAACCATTGATTAATAATAAATAGATCTTTTAATTCATAGATTAAAAATTAATGAATTGCTTATCCATTCCATACATAAATATTAAATAGATCTTTTTGTTCATAGATTAATAATAAATAGATCATTATATCCATAGATTAATAATAAATAGATCTTAATATTCATAGACTAATATTGAAAAAAGGTTTATCCATAGATTAATAAAATAGATCTTTTTTCCAGAGATTAACAATTAATAGATTTTATCTTTTATCCAGATTGATAAATAGATCTGTCCATAGATTAATAATAAATAAGTCTTGCGTTCATAGATTACTAATAAATAGATCTTTTCATTCATAGATTAATAATAAATTATAGATCTTAACATCCATAGCTTAATAATAAATAGATGTTTTTTATTACAGGTGAAAAAAAATTGAACTTTTTTAACAAGTATTTGGATTTGAAGTTTTCAATAAAGATTAGTGCATACCAAAACACAGCTTTTTATTCCATAGATAATTAAAATAAAAAAGATTTTTAAAAATGCATTGTATATATCCTAAAAATGCATCATATATATCCTAAAAATGCTTAATTTATCTGTTTATATTTCAGATCGTTATTATCTTGTGGGAGTAGTGTCATTCGGCTACAGGAACACATATCATAAAATTACATTTTTTTCAATATGTTGGTAGGGATACCATGACAAATGAGAAATGGCAATTTCCTGAAATTTTAAACTTCTTGGGGTTAATTCTTAAGTTGAAAAATAGAAATAAAGTCTTTTTCCAACATGAGGAACATCTTTTCATAATGGTCATAGGTCACTTTTACTGAGAAACCAAAGTTAAGATTAGGACTGGGCAAAGTTCCGTTAGTGAAACGGAGGTTTTTGAAAAATAACGGAAGATTCTATTAATCAATGACAAAAACCGTTATTTTTTAAATTGTTCGCTAACAGAATTAGTCGTTTTGGAAAAAATAAACGGTTAAATAAAAACGACAACGACACATTCCATTATTTTTTCCGCTTGAACTTGCATGAAACTTGAAAAAGATAAAAGATAATTGTTTATGTACTTCAATGTTTTAGTTAAGAGCTGCCACCATGAACGATTTCTGAAATATCTGCTATTAATAATATTGTGAATCGTTAACAAAAGATTGCCTTAAACAAACAGAAAATACCGAAAACGAAACAAACGACTGGCTAAAAAAAATTTACTATCAACAACTATTAAACAGCTAGAAAAAGTTCAGAACATGCCAACTGCCCAGCCCTAGTTTTATAAGAATAAACTTGGATAAAGATAAGTAAAGATAAAGATAAGTAATTTCCTAGTACACAATTTTTGGCTTCCCCACCCCCTCCTATCAATTTTGTACATGGTCTCGTATGTAACACATGGATAAAATTGGTCGTCTGGCCGCAGCGCCCAGCCCTCATGTCTTTCCTAGCCGCGGCACTACCCTAACCTAACTATTGTAAATAAAAACAATTGTTAGGAAATAAAGGAAGTACAGGGTGTCCCACGAAACATGACAGTATGCAAGACGACTTGAATATCGTCTTGATTTTTGATATAATTTGCTGCATTTATTTGTCAACCTAATTTTAGAAGTAAATTTCTAGAGATAATAATCACAAAATTCCCCTAGCCCTGGCATTTCCAAAATGTGGTCTGCATTTTTTGTGCTTTCAATGTTGCCCGAGATATGAACAATTTCGTTCAGGTTTCGACAATTTTGCTTTTATTTAACAAAATTGAAATCTGAACCAAACTCTTAATATCTCCGGTAATATTGAAAGCACAAAAAACGCAGACCACTTTTTGGAAATGTCAGGGCTAGAGAATTATGTGATAATTGTTTCAAGAATCATACATGTTAAGTAGATAGAAGACTAAATGTCACAAATAAATTCAAATATCAAAGACGAATTTCAAGTCGTCTTTGATATTGTCATGTTCCGTGGGACACCCTGTATAAAATCATAGGGGTTTGAACTTGATAAAATGAGATTTAGAACTTAACTAATATTGTGTATGCTGTACAGGTGTGCGGTCCCTGGATTTCCTGGAGTGTACACAAGAGTCACAGAGTACATGGACTGGATCAAGGGCCATATTAATTAAGTTGTTCACAGTGAACTTTGATTTGTACGCAAGGTCACAGCGTACTTAAAGAAGCACATTATTTTGTGTTCCGTTAAAAAAAACTGAACTCTGTATCTGGTAAGGAACTGAAAATTTTTTTTTGGAAACAAAAAGCATTCAGAATTATTCAGTTTTTGGGTAAATCTTAAAAAATTAGTTTTCCGTCAATTGATAAACTTTTAACTTAATGTTAATTAACTTTATTTTTTAAATCTTGTTTTTTAGATAAACACTTTGTATTTGTATTATTGAATTGTAAATGTTCTTAAATTGAGGAATAATAAAAATATATTTATTCTACACCACTTCTTAGAGCTAGTGTAATAACTGGATATAAAGTTATGTTTTGGAAGATAAAAGAGTTAGACAAATGTAGGTAAGAACTAGGACAATTTCCGGGCTGAGCGCTTGGGTTAGGACATATAAGAGGACTAGGCTGGGTGTCGTTACTGGGGAACGGTCGTTCTTTCACAAGAACGAATGGAACAATCAAGAACAATTCCATCATTTCGCAAAAAAGAAACGAACGCATAGAACGCTGGGCTGAGCGCGACAAAGTAAGAAGGTGAGTGCTGCGGCTAGGACAGGCTAGGAGGATTGTACCTGTGGCACAGAAGAGATTTATGATGTCATGTCCAACCCGAAATAATCGATGTTGCAAGACAAGTCTAGGCTCAGGAAAACTTCTTAAACTTCCTTACATCTTTATTAATATATGGTATATTATTAATAACAATCATTATACAAACTTAATAATAAATATTAACAATGATTGTTTTTTATAAGATTTAAGAGGTATATTGATTGAAACCTATGATCAATTGGTAAAAAAATTAATAACTTCAATTTGAGTAAAATCTGCGAAATTTTGTATAAATTTAATATTAGCAACAAAATATAAGATATCTCAAAATAAATAATCCTAACATCTAGAATATATTATTCTAACTTCAGATTTACTGCAAAAAAAAATCAAGAATCAAAAAAATAGTTTGATAATCCTTAAAATGAGATTCGTCATATCGCAATTATATTTTTTAATGACATGTTGAATATACAGGAAAATATTATGATTTATTTATCCAAGGACTGCAAATGTTATTTCAACCCTATAAATTTAATGAAATATTTACAGTGGTACCCTTTAAACATCTATTTGAGAAACAAGGGGGAAGATACAAAATTGCATATATATATGACATTTTGTATAAATTTTATATCAATTTCTTGAGACAGGAACATCAGATAGATGTCTTATAGGTATCGTTCTACTCCAGAGATTCTCAGGTTTCAGCCTATACCCCCTTTCATATATCCTTTACAGTCCCTTTTAGAGACGATTATAAAGATCGTCTTATTGACAAAATTTATTGCAGCGCCGCTTTCCGAAATGGATTTTTAACTTGTAGAAAGATTTTTAACATGTAGAAAATCTTCGGGTTCTTTAAAATAAATGTTGCATATTAAATTTAAAAAAAAAATTGTCATGATAAGCGGGACACACTGCATAATATCAATATTTACTAGAACAAATTGTGTTCAATGTCATATAGAGTATCCAATAGGGTAGAGTGACTCCAGGCCTAAACAAAATGAAAAATGAAAACTGAAAAAAAATCAGTTCTTGTAACAAAACAACATCAAAACCTTATTGTTGCTCAATAAAGTGAAACTTTAAGAGGTAAGAACATGGGTAAAAAACTTTCTATATCTTTATCTTTATTTTTAATAGAAATTTTCATTTAAACCAAAAATATATTTAATAAAACAATCAATTAAATTAAAATCCACTACTTTTGATTAAATATTTATATAAAGTGTAAAAAGATCATGGATGATCATTAAAAATATGACAGCCACTAAAAGCAGAAGTATCTTAATTGTAAACATTACAGTACAGTACACTACCGTACAGTACAGTACAGTACAGTACAGTCCGGTCGGGTCCGGTCCAGTCCAGTACAGTTATATAGAGCACAGTGCTCTATGGTACAGTTCAGTACAGTTATATAGAGAACAGTGCTCTACGGTACAGTTCAGTACAGTTATATAGAGCACATTGCTCTACGGTACAGTTCAGTACAGATAAATATAGAGCACAGTGCTGTAGAGTAAAGTTGGTTTTCAATAGTTTAAAGTGCTATACAATTACACAATACACATTACACATTTGCCAAATAATTCTACATTACTGAAATGAGACATGAAATTGTTTTATACTAAATCTAAATTGACCATGAAGCAAGAAATCAAAATAGTGAGAAATCCCTTTAAATAAATATATGTTTAGACCTGAACAGGATTTGAATCCCGACAATGTTGACCACGGCTGTTGGTCAGCTCTGGTAATCCTAAACACAAGTTATTAATCAATCATTTATCAAGAATGATTGATTGAATGATAAAATGTATAAATTGGTTCATAGGTTGATTGATGGATTGATTAATTGATTGGTTAGTTGGTTGGATGTATTGATGAATTGATGAATTGATGGATTAGTTTTTGGTTGGTTGGCTGGTTGGTTGATTTATATTTTCGTCATTTTTGCTCAGACTAAGGTTTAAATGAATCGGGCATGGCGCTCTTTTTTTAAGTGAATGTTATGTGAAATTAATTCTATAATTCTAAATCCCCTTCAATCTGAAACATTTCCTTGGAAACATATTCACCCCTGAATATAGTTCAGCCAGTCAGAGAAGATTATTGTGTTTTTTATATTTACCCGGCCAATGGGAGGAGAGTTTTAATATTTACCCAGCCAATAGGAGGAGAGTTTTAATATTTACCCAGCCAATAGGAGGAGAGTTATAATATTTACCCAGCCAATAGGAGAAGAGTTTTTATATTTAACACATCCAACACGAGGAGAGTTTTCATATTTACCCAGCCAATAGAAGGAGAGTTTTAATATTTACCCAGCCAATAGGAGAGTAGATATTTACCCAGCTAATAGGAGGAAAGTTTTAATATTTACCCAGCCAATAGGAGGAGAGTAGATGCTGGTAGTGTCGGGACAGTACAGTGTAAACATACTGCTTAGCAACATCTAAATAAAATAAACATAAAGTACAATGTAAACATTCATTATGTGTACAATTACGGTGTAAATATACTGCTTAGCAACATCTAATTACAATATACATAAAGTATAATGTAAACATACAGTATGTGTACAGTTACGGTGTAAATAAACTTCTTATAGCAACATCTAAATACAATATGTGTACAGTACAGTGTAAATATACTTCTTAAAGCAAAATCTAAATACAGTATGTGTACAGTACAGTGTAAATATACTACAATGTTAACCAGAAAACTCTGGAATATGAAGTCGACTTTTAGACTTAAGCTAAGACTTTGCATAGTCCAATGAACATGAGGCTCAGCAATTGTGCAGTGTAAACAGAACTATTTCACTTACTAAGTAATTTAATAACCTACTAGTAAAATTATTTGCTTTGTAATAACATCAAATACACTTCAGTTTTACTTTAATGTCGTCTTCCAATTCTACAGTTTTCTGGTTATCACTGTACTTCTTACTAAAAATATATATATATTTTTTACAACTTTCTACCGACACCTTCAGGCTTAGTATTTATCAAACAAATTACTCTATAAATAAGAATGACTCACCCAACTGCTGTTCACCAAGTTTTGCGGCAATTTTGATATATGCGCGTAGGAAGAATCCAACCGGCCACACCCACTCCGGACCCTGGTCATACAAATGTTAAAGATCTAACATTCATATATCAATTTTGAACCAAGCCCTTACGTGTGAACTATCTCCCCCTGGAATATAAAAATTTGAACCAAGCCGTTTCTTTGAACTATTTCTCACTAAAATGTCAAATTTGAACCAAGCCCTTACTGTGAACTATCTCCCCCTAAAATGTCAAATTTGAACCAAGTCCTTACTGTAAACTTTGTCCCCCTGAAATGTCATATTTTAACCAATTCCTCGATGTGAACTGTGTCTCCCCCCCCTGACCTGATGATAGTTTGCCCCCTGTGCTACATGCGGATCTCCACTTCCGTTTCCGTTATCATAATCTCCTCTGCAAATAATCAATAAAATGGACTACTCATGAATTTTGTAACTCAGAATTAAGTTAATTATAAATTTATGAATAGATTGTTTGCCTTTATTACCTGTAAGCCCAATCTTGAGGATCTAAGGTCGCTAGCCCAAGAGGACCAAGCAGTCTTGAGGCCACAACCTGAAGGATAGATTGATACAGTGAGACTGAGAACCACAAAACTGTGGATTAGAAAGACATTAAAGCAATATTTGCCTGTTTTTGATCCTGTTACAAAGCAAATATTAAAATACAAGTTTTAAAATCACTGTTATGATATGATGGATAGAAGAATAAATGGCTAAATGAGATGGATAGATGGATAGTTAAGACAGATAGATAGATAGCTGGATAGATAGCTGGATAGATAGATGGATAGATAGAGATGGATAGATAGATGGATATATACCTGGAGTGACTGCCAGGCATGTGCAGGGTCAACTAAACCAGGGGATACTGCCAGAGCTATCACGTAGTTAGGCCTAAATATCATGTAGTTAGGTCTAAATATAATTAAGACAGGCCTAAATATCATCTAGTTAGGCCTAAATATCATGTAGTTAGGCTTAAAAAGTTAAACATCATTTAGTTATGCCTAAATGTCATGTAGTTTGGGCTATGTATCATTTAGTATTGCCTAAATATCATGTTGTTTGGGCTAAATATCATTTAGTATTGCCTGAATATCATGTAGTTAGGCCTAAATATCATTTAGTTAGTCCTAAATATCACAATACAATAGTTTAAAGTGACCCCACAATGAGGGGAAGATATCCTTGTTCTTCTATCTGAAATTGTTCAATATAAACAAGTTTCGTTTTTGACTACAGAACATGACTCATCAAATTTGAGAGAAACCTCTCAGTTGATGACTAACAATTTTTAGATACAGGTTTATCCACAGAATGAGAATATTAAGATGACCTGATCCGGGAATAGAATAGGATACTACTTACACTTTTCAGGATACAAGTACAAGATTAGGTTAGTCTCGTGTTTAAGAAAAAGAGAGGATCAAGCATTGATCTCGATATCCACCATTCTAAAGTTCCTGATAAGCTCTGATACTCTCAAAATGTGCCAATTCCAAGGTCGAATTAAGTCAACTACCTTTAAAAAAGTCTCTCAATGGCTTATTTTATATATTGACAAAGAAAGAAACAAGTTTACAGGGAATAGTTAATGTATGGAAACAGATAGTACATAATCCGTACAGTCGTCTCTGAAGTCTCATTCATTGAGGGTAACCATGTGAAAAGGTTAAAGAAAATAAAAAGGTTTCCTTTGAACAAGACGACATTTGATTATGAGGACGACGACATTAATAATTACCTGAGCTGATAGTCTGTAAATTTATGCCCACTGTTGACGCTATCCTTGTAAATTCCAGTACAGTTCACTAATCAAAGATAATCAAATGTATAGATCATTCATAATTTGATTCATCAATCAATTAATTTAAATTGAAAACAGTTCAATAATTTAACTTTATTAATTTATATTCCAATTGATTAATCTAAATTAAAAACAGTTCAATAATTTAACTTTTATCATTTATATTCCAATCGATTAATTGAAATTAAAAACAGTTCAATAATTTACCTTTAATCATTTATATTCCAATCGATTAATTTGAATTAAAAACAGTTCAATAATTTAACTCTAATCATTTATATTCCAATCGATTTCTATAATTGATCAATTCTCTGATAAATATAATTATAATTTAGGTCAGTAATCTATAAATCAATTTCTATAATTTATCAATTCAATTGATTCAATCGTTATAAACAATTTATTCAAATCAAACATGGAGAGATCACAATATGTGGGAAAATTAACAATAAGACAATAAATCGACGAGGACATACGTTACAGACAAGGACATACAGACAAGGACATACATACAAGTACATACAGACAAGAACATACAGACAAGGACATACAGACGAGGACATACAAACAAGTACATACAGACAAGGACAAACAGACAAAGACATACAGACAAGGACATACAGACAAGTACATACATAAAAGGACATACAAGGACATACAGAGAACATACAGACAAGAAAATACAGACAAGGACATACAGACAAGGACATACAGAACAGGACATACAGACAAGAACATACAGACAAGAACATACAGACAAGGAAATACAGGCAAGGACATACAGAAAAGTACATACAGACAAGGACATACAGACAAGGAAATACAGACAAGGACATACAGATAAGAACATACAGACAAGTACATACAGACAAGAACATACAGACAAGAACATACAGACAAGTACATACAGACAAGTACATACAGACAAAAACACCCAACCTTAAGTACATACAGACAAGAGCATACAGACAAGGACATACAGACAAGGACATACAAACAAGAACATACAGACAAGAACATACAGACAAGTACATACAGACAAGAACACCCAAACTTAAGTACATACAGACAGATGATTAGATGGAGAGATCGGAAAATAGATAAAGATAGAAAGATAGATAATTTGATATACGGTGATAGGCGATCAAATCAATATAATGAAGACGACTTTTATTTTTAGGTTTTAATTGTTAACAAGCCTTTTTCGAATTAAAAGTTTACTAGTAATTAAAGAGAAGCTTTTTTTAATAGACAGCTTCACTTTTTTTCCATGTTTTTGTGTATCCATGCTCTTTAAAAGCTTGATATAAATCAAAATTGAAATCGAAAGTCGTCTTTATTATATTGACATCATCGCCTACCATCGGAGTTAAATAGAGATAAAGATAAATAGATAGATAAGACAGATATATGGATAGATAGATAGATATATATATATATATATATAGATATAGATATATAAATAGAAAGATAGATATAGATATATAAATAGAAAGATAGATAAATACCTAGATGAGGGTTTGGTTCCACCTTTGCTCCTCCCTTTGATCCAACCCAGAAGTAATCCTAGATATTTACACTGATAATAATAATATCTGCAAAAGAACAATTAGAATAATTGAAATAGTAAATATCAACCATATTTGTATAATAAAAGGAGCTCAGGAACATTACAAAATTATCAATTTAAACCTACTGTAAACGTTATAGAAAACATAAAAAAATAAAACATAGAATTAGCACCGAAATGTGAAAAGCCAATACATTGTTTTTATTAGTAGATTTTGCGACTCTGTACAAAAGCAGAGACAGAGGGACGGAGGGCCTGGCAATTGAGTAACTATATGTTATCCTAGATTTATTGGCTAAACCCGATACAGTGTTCGATACATTGATCTGTCGGAGGGATCAATCGAAAGGGATATATCAATCTGTCGGAGGGATATATCGATCTGTCGGAGATATATCGATCTGTCGGAGAGATATATCGATCTGTCGGAGAGATAAATCGATCTGTCGGAGGGATAAATCGATCTGTCGAAGGGATAAATAGATCTATCGGAGGGATATATTGATCTGTCTGAGGAATATATCGATCTGTCGGAAGGATATATCGATCTGTCGGAGGGATAAATCGATCTGTCGGAGGGATGTATCGATCTGTCGGAGGGATATATCGATCTGTCGGAAGAATATATCGATCTGTCGGAGGGATATATCGATCTGTCGGAGGGATATATCGATCTGTCGGAGGGATATATCGATCTGTCGGAGGGATATATCGATCTGTCGGAGGGAAATATCGATCTGTCGGAGGGATATATCGATCTTTCGGAGGGATATATCGATCTGTCGGAGGGATATATCGATCTGTCGGAGGGATAAATCGATCTGTCGGAGGGATATATCAATCTGTCGGAGGGATATATCGATCTGTCGGAGGTGATATATCGATCTGTCGGAGGTCAAAGGTCAGAACTTTCAGAGTTGTGAATTTCAGGATTTAGCAATAAGCGTACATCTCCATATATTGTATTAATTTAATTTTTCTTTGGTATCCCGTAGTGACTTCACCCTGCAGTAGGAATAACAAAATTCAAGGGATCAAGCACTTAGCTTTTATACTGGATATCGAGATCAATTGTAGATCAATTGTAGATCAATTGTATCAAGCACTAATTGTAGAAGATTAGTGCCATGTTACACAAGTTACAATATATCAAGATCAAATGTAGAAGATTAGTGCCCTGTTACACAAGCTACAATATATCGAGATCAATTGTAGAAGATTAGGTCCATGTTACACAAAGTTACGATTTATCTAACAACACTTTTGGATTACTTCTTACAATGGAATGTTTCTTTCTTTACCTCAAAATGAAGTTTGATCTTTGAGGCCCAGGCTTCCAGAGTAACAGCTCCATCTAAAATAATTTTAAAAAAGAAAAACCTAAATTAAACTTCTAAAACAATTGCCTTTCAAATTATTTTAAAAAATTAAAATTTCATAAATAATTTCTACCTGTTCCCTTTATGCTCTGGTGCGGATAGACACTAAACAAATCAAAATAGAAAAATGCTAAGAAACCCTTTAGGATGAAGATATGGTAGTTGATTTAGTATTAAGACGACTTTTAGAATTGAAAAGTTGTCGCTTACACATGGAAAAAAGACGACCTCTAAAAATAAAAAAGGTCGGAGTGCTGCGTGGGGAGCCAACCTTACATGGAGAGCCTACTTATGTGTGTTAACCATTTCAACGTAACGTTTAAAAACAATTTTAAAACATTTAAAATTGTTAGTTTACAAAAATAAATGCACAATTGGTTCTAAAATGTATTATTTAAGGAGAAAACGTTAAAAAAATGTATTATTTAAGGGGAAAACGTTAAAAAAATGTATTATTTAAGGGGAAAACGTTAAAAAAAATGTATTATTTAAGGGGAAAACGTTAAAAAAATGTATTTCCTTGCAAATGTCGTCTTCCCTTATTAACATTAAAAACATTGCTTTTTATGACCAAAAATTGTGTTGAAAATTGTGTTGAAATGGTGACGGCAATAGGGTCTCCAGTCTCCATGCAGGGTAGGCTCTCCAGTCTCTATGCAGGGTAGGCTCTACAGTCTCCTTGCACGACATCGGTCGATAGCATTTTTCGGATTGCAAAGACGACCTTTAGAGTGAAAACCTGATGGTAGAACTAATTAAAGACAGTGTTTAAGCTACCTGAGTTTTGCCAAGGAGTCTAAACAAGAATAGGAGAGCCCAACGATTTCCACAGCACTCCCATCCCGTGGAGTACTCGGCACTCCCTTATTTCCGGCCTCTGCCGAACTTCCCATTTTGTCCATCCAGGTACCACAATTACTAAAATATCAAAGAAAAAATGTTGTTATTTCTTTTTCATTCAAATGTTAGATCATTCAATGCATATAAATTGTTGAAAATAAAAGATGACTCACAAGTTTGTACTCTCCCACTAAAACCATGAATATTTCCCGCCCAATCTAACCTCGTGTTTCCTCCAAAGATAAACCCTGTCACATGATCAGTTCCAATATGGTTGGAGAACCCGGCATCCTGCATCTGGGAGTCTATTTTCTGTCCTGGAAAAATTAATCAAAGTATTTCAATCATTTTCTAAAAATATTATTCCAACATACTACTACAGTTATAACCAGAAACTCAGAAATAGAAAGACGACTTTCAGAGTCAAGTTTAACTTTAGAAAGTCTAATAAGCATGAGACACAGGGACTGCAAGATACTGCGAAATATGCTCTGAGTACACAGGCAGCCAGGATATTCAGCCTACTCCGGTCTTCCATACTCATAATAGCTCCAAAAACTATTGGAGAGAACAGCGCATACTGGAGCAGTTTCGCCGCAGCAACCCTACCCTTCCCACCCCAGCTAGTATCTCTCTGTGAGGAGGATAGAAAACTCAAGCATAATTACTGGGATACCCTTGTCAACATCACAACAAGAATTCGAGAGATGAATCGAGGTGACAATCATCCCCATATACCAACAGACATGGGGTGTTCGTATCATGCAACACAGCAAAGTGGTCGGACCCGCTAACCTCATGGAAAATTTTGCTGATCACCGACTAGTATCCTGAAAAGGCACTAAACCCAAGCAAATGCTTCATCTCTCAGACGAACTAAAACTAAAGATGGGCAAATCTATAGTGACATATTTTAAAGTGATCTACAGAATGACCGCGGACAGCTTCAGATCTAAGAATAAAGCTCTAGCTTATAGATCAACTAAAGCCAAGATCTAATGTCCCCAGTCACCAAAGTTCAGTTCAGATTCAATGTTCATTTTATAAACTATATAAACATTCCAAACTGGTTAACTATCCAACAACATACAGACGAGAAATTTTTTCCATTTCATGTTTTGTACATTTCTCGGTTTTTTCTCGTATTCTTTCATGATTTTTCTTGTTTTTTCTTATTTTTTTTCTTCTACTATGATATTAGACGAGAAGTCTTTTATTTACCCTAGACGAGAAGTCTTTTTCTACTATATTCAAAAAGAGAGGTCCTTCACATTTCATATAGGATTATATTTCATGTCTCAGTGTTGTTAAGTCTTTACTAGTTTAAATTCCACACCTTAAATTAGAGAGTATAATGCGAGCAGCAATTTGTATATGTATATGTAAATGAATAATTGTGTGTTTTTTATCATTATTACAAAATTTTCTCAAATCTGTACATTTATTGTTTCAATAAAAAGTTTGAAAGATAGAGACACAGCGACTGCACAGTGTAAAACGTCCCATTTTACTAAATTAGTGAAATAGTAGTAAAACTATTTGTCTTAAGTTACAATATCAAAGTGTTTCTAAAATGTCGTCTGTCCAACCCATTTTTTATGGTAACTAGAAATTCAAGGCGCTTAAATTTGGCTTGTCTGTTTGTTTGTTTGTTTGTTTGTTTGTATCCAATAAACGTCAAAACGGCTGAACCGATCGGGCCCAAATTTTTTGTGGGACATCTAGGGACCCCAGGGAAGGTTTATGAAAAATCAAAATTTCAAATATTTGTCTCTATCAAAATTCGATCGTCATTAAATTTTTTAAAATTTTGAAAATCCGCGAATTTTAGTAAAACTATTTGTCTTAAGTTACAATATCAAAGTGTTTCTAAAATGTCGTCTGTCCAACCCATTTTTTATGGTAATTAATGCAGTTTAAGATTCTTTTATCAAATTTTTATCAAATTGTAAATTACCTGCATTCCATTCGCGGAATTCAAGACCGTTCCAGTGTTTACAAAGCGCTTCATTGATAACATCCTAATTATTTTAAAAAAATGCAACAATTGGTTGCGAATTAATTGATTGCTTGTTGCTGTATTGGTTAATTAATTGGTTGTTCGATTGTTTATATGTATGTTGATTGCTTTTTAGTTGATTGGTTGATTTTTTGCTGATTTAAAAATGGTTGTTTTTCTGTTGATTAATGGGTTGATTGCTTCATGCTTGTTAATGTTGACTAATTGGTTGAATAAATGGCTGACTGATGATTGATGGATTGACTGGTTGGTTTACTAATTAGATAATAAATTGGTTGCTTGATTGTTGAGAAATTGGTTGATTGGTTCATGGTTGTTAATGAATTGGTTGATTGATTTAATAGAAATTGTGTAACCTGTAAAGGTTGAATTTTTTCTTCAACTGGACAATCCTAAAAAATTATTCAATAAATGATTTACCTTTAATCTAATAAATTTTAATATGGAGGGGGGGGGGCGTCATGACTACAACCCCCCCCCCGGTCGTTTTACAAAGACGACATTTTGTCCCACCTGTATATCCGATGGGAAAAGACGATTGACCGGAAGTTGAAGTATTTCCTCTCCACCTTCCTTCAGTTCTATATAGTCCAGATAAGAATAATAATTGAATAAGAATAAGAATAATAATTGAATAAGAATAAGGATAATAATTGAAGAATAAGAATAATAATTGAATAGGAATAAGAATAATAATTGAATAGGAATAAGAATAATAATTGAATAGGAATATGAATAATAATTGAATAGGAATAAGAATAATAATTGAATAGGAATATGAATAATAATTGAATAGGAATAAGAATAATAATTGAATAAGAATAAGAATAATAATTGAATAGGAATAAGAATAATAATGAATAGGAATAAGAAGAATAATTGAATAGGAATAAGAATAATAATTGAATGGGAATGGGAATGGGAACAGGAATAGGAAAAGGAATAGGAATAGGAATAGGAATAACAATAACAATAACAATAACAACAAGGGAATAATAATAATAATAATAATAACCTCAGCCACCACCAGATAGCGTCCCTGCAGTTAAACCTGGCATTTCTGCCCCCGTCCAACAGGTTCGGGATCAGACCGTGCCTTAGGGTGCAGGCATACCCTAACAAGATATCCCTAGATATATAGATAGATAGATAGATTGATATAAATAAATAGCTGATAGATAGATGGATAAACAAACAAAGAGATAGATAGACAGACAAACACACAGGTAGATGGATAAAAAGAAAGATAGATAGATAGATAGACAGATATCAAAGTTTTCACAGCAAAGTGTAATTTCCTTTATCTTATTTAATTCTAAATAATACCCACCTTGCTTCTATGAACTGTCCTGTGGTGAGAAGAAGTCCTCTAAAAAAAACATTTTTAAATCATAAAATTATTTATTTCTAACATTTTTTTTAAATGTGTCAAATACAACCTTTAAACACGTAATTAAGTTTCAATGATCAAATTGTATTCTATAAAAAATAGGTTTTTTTCTTAATTTTATCTTTATAATTGTTTTGTTGAAGTTGGTTCAATTAAAGTTAAATTAATAATCAATGATCAACTTGCATTTTTTTTCTTAATTTAATATATATATTTGTTTTCTTGTTTTTTTAAATATCTCAAGATTTAAATTACATTAAATTGCAATAAATATTAAGGTTTTGTTTGTATTTTAATATTTTCAACGCACTTTTAGACAAATTGGGATTTTATTAGAGAAAAATTATTGTTATAGAAGGAAATATGCTAAACAATTAAATGTTTCTATTTCATTTATTTTCCTCTGAAAATCATTTATTTTCCCAAATTTAGCAAATAAACCCCAACATGGTTGTTGGCAAACATTTAACATCTAGAAAAATAAGTTTAAAAAAATATAAGATGAATAATTTAAAAATGTTTCCTAAGGGCTATGAAAGTATCCCGGCCCCAGGATCTCATGTATCCGGTGGAGAAATGAGGAAGCCCCGCCGCTAAGGTTGGCGGCGGTAGCAGCGGCGGAGGTACAAGCTCCGCCGACAGAAGAGGCAGCGGGGCACTGCGCACAGCTGATAAATGGATAGGGGTGCCGCGTGCAAGACATTTCACTAGATCGGAACCTAAGTAAACACGTGGCTTAGTTTTAACTGTTTTAAGCCAGTCACATTCGCAGAGAAACCGCAAATAAAAAAATAGTTTGAAGAAACAAAAACATTGGTATTTAAGTCATACTTGCATACTGTAAGACAATGAAGAGGTACCACTGTAAATCGGATATTCACTTTTTGGCATGGAGGGTCACTTTAAAGGGACAGTAGACGTAATTTCAAATGAACCTTCATTTTAAAGAGTAGCAAGTCCGATGCAAAATGGTACCCTTGGATACTAATTATTTAGGAACTATCATGATGTTTTTCAATCTTGAAAAAGTTTTTATTTCTCACAAAATCACTTCATTGTCTTGCAGCAAACAGCTGCAAGTCACTTTTACAGATAAAACGCAATCATAAATAATCAACTTTCAAAAAGAAAATAAAGAATTTTTCATTCATTCATGATTAGTCACAGCCTAATAATAATAAATAAATCTAGTAACCCCCCTCACTTAAATCCTGTATCCGCCCCTGACAGCCTTAGTACCGTATAAAAGTTAATTACGTCTTGAGTACTTTTAAAATTTTGCAAAAATGTTTTGAAATTAAGTTTTATCTCACCTTTGCTGACAAATGGAGACATCAGTGAGAAGGACTGATCGTCAAGATAACGATAAACTCTAAATAAAAAACAAGTTTTTCTTATAATTTTATGTTGTGTTAAGATAACGATAAACTATTAATTAAAAAAAGTTTTTCTTATTATTTTATGTTGTGTCAAGAAAACGATAAACTCTAAAAAAACAAGTTTTTCTTATAATTTTATGTTGTGTCAAGATAACGATAAACTCTAAAAAAAAGTTTTTATTATTATTTTATGTTGTGTTAAGATAACGATAAACTCTAAATAAAAAAAGTTTTTATTATTATTTTATGTTGTGTCAAGATAACGATAAACTCTGAATAAAAAACAAGTTTTTCTTATTATTTTATGTTGTGTCAAGATAACGATAAACTCTGAATAAAAAACATGTTTTTCTTATTATTTTATGTTGTGTCAAGATAACGATAAACTCTAAATAAAAATTTTTCTCATTATTTTATTTTGTGTTAAGATAACGATAAACTCTAAATAAAAAAATTTTCTTATAATTTTATGTTGTGTCAATATAACGATAAACTCTAAAAAAAAGTTTTTCTCATTATTTTATGTTGTGTTAAGATAACGATAAACTTTTAATTAAAAAAAATTTTTATTATTATTTTATGTTGTGTTAAGATAACGATAAACTATTAATTAAAAAAAGTTTTTCTTATTATTTTATGTTGTGTTAAGATAATGATAAACTCTGAATAAAAAACAAGTTTTTTTTATAATTTTATGTTGTGTCAAGATAACGATAAACTCTAAAAAAAATTTTCTTATTATTTTATGTTGTGTTAAGATAACGATAAACTCTAAAAAAAAAAGTTTTTCTCATTATTTTATTTTGTGTTAAGATAACGATAAACTCTAAATAAAAAAAAAATTTCTTATTATTTTATGTTGTGTTAAGATAACGATAAACTTTTAATTAAAAAAAGTTTTTATTATTATTTTATGTTGTGTAAAGATAACGATAAACTCTAAAAAAAAAGTTTTTATTATTATTTTATGTTGTGTTAAGATAACGATAAACTCTAAATAAAAAAATTTTTTATTATTTTATGGTGTGTCAAGATAACGATAAACTCTGAATAAAAAACAAGTTTTTCTTGTTATTTTATATTTTGTCAAGATAGCGATAAACTCTGAATAAAAAACAAGTTTTTCTTATAATTTATGTTGTGTTATTGATGTGTTTTCTCACAATCTAAAGTGGGTCCCTTTCCCTTATATTTTCTTTTATGATGACAAATATTGAAAATAAGAAAACTATGATGGCGGTCTAACAAGATGAAACTTTTTAAATCACTGTAATTTAAAAAGGTTTCAAGCAGACCATATTTTGGAAATCCAAGCATTAATTTTATGAATATACTTGTTATTTGATCAAAGTACGAATAAATAACGCATGAATGGATCAAAGACGATCTTTATAAGTCTTTAAAAGTCCTGGCTTAATTTACATGTTTATCGGGACACCCTGTATTTAAGTTGTAAACCTTGAAATGATTGAGTGGAAGTATCGTGGAACAAGATAGCGGGGTAGTTTGGACACAAATCCAAACCCGACCTCTAACCAGTCTCCGAGCTCAGCTGTCCCTGTCCTAAAAAACACTCGTCTTAAAGATCATGAAAAATCCACCAAAAAAAATGTTGACGCAAAAATCAATCTTTGTTTTTGAATCAATGTTAGTGGTATAAAAAAATCCAAAATGGGGTTTTTAACAAATACGGCGGCGTCTAATCCCAATTTGGCGTCTAACCCAAAACTAAACCCGTAACTGAAAGTTTTTTTTTGTGGGGGGGGGGGGCTCACATGGTAAACAGGAGGGGGCAAAGCTCTCTCACACAGTAAAAAGGCACTTATTTGACCTTAATATTGATTTTAAAGTTATGGTCGGGATAGTGTCTAAAATCTTTAAAATGGCGACTATATTACCTGGATTTCAGTCTGCCTGAAATGTACTCCATCAACCAGTTTCCAGCCCTTAAGTTGGCCGCCAGAGGGTGTCCAAGATCATTCTCTTCAGCCACCTTAACAACCATTTCATGAGATTTTGGTCGTTAATCACGTCAAGATTATGATACAAAAGAATTTTTTGACATTTTGTTTATTTTGTGTTTTTCCAGAGTAGGTTACGTTGGCTATGACATTTTTTTTTTAGGGTAGGCAAAAAGACCAATCACTTCGTCTTTGACAGGCTAGAAGGCCGAGCGCCAAGGGTGATTCAACCTTTTTCAAAAAAAAAGGATTGAGATTCCAAAACAAAAATCAGTTAAATTTTACCTTTCGAAGAAGAGGAATAAGACCTGCTAGCCCACAGTAGGTTAAATCTCCGTATCCAGGTATACCATACACACCATACCCACACTCCTTTCCTTCCTAGTAGTACAGTACATTAGTAAAAGCATTTAAGATCTCTGTATCCAGGTATACCATACACACAGTACCCACACTCCTTTCCTTCCTAGTAGTATAGTACATTAGTAAAAGTATTTAAGATCTCCGTATCTAGGTATTCCATACACACCATACACACCATACGCACACTCCTTTCCTACCTTGTAGTACAGTACATAAGTAAAGTATTTAAGACCTCGTATCCATGTATTCCATACACACCATACCTTTACTCCTTCCCTTCCTTGTAATACAGTACATTAGTAAAAATTGAAACAAAAAACTAGTTTCTCTGCTATCTAAGGACGTCACAATATTTGATACGAAATGATGTATGCAGTAAAGTGCAAGCTGACATTTTGTAAACATAGAAACTACCAAATTACATTGCATTGGTATTGGGCATAGTTTTTGTCTATTTTTAAACATTCCAGGTTTTTAGGCTTTTAAAATGGCCTCACTAAAACTACATGCTTTTACATACATACAAATTTAATTTAGAGCATGACATTTTACAAATTTGTCTCAGTCATATGGCCTATAGTAAGTCTACCTAAGGCTTTGCTGACCGCATTGATCATGGATACACTTTGGCGGCCAGATCCCCTGTCCCCTACTTTATTGACTCTAGGGTTGACCTTTGTAAAGCTTAAAATTCAACAACATTAAATATTTTCCCCACACTATTTCTTATTCTTATATTTTTAAATCCCCACCTCATTGCACTGATATAGAGCAAACTGAATATCATTGAGAGCAAGTTGACCAATCAGAGTCTCCAGCTTCCCATAGTCCAGCTGCTCCAGGCCACTCAGGGCAGTTCTAGAATTGTTGAAGGGGCAGATAAAAATCAAGAACATTACCATTTCTTTGAGAAATATCTTATTCCCTTTAGACTGGAGGCAAATATAATTTTATGGTATGTAATAGAATATAGATATGAAGGGTCATTGTTCATTTTGGCCCGTTGACTAGCTAAATATGTTTACCTATGTTCCTGAATTGGGTTAACAGCCACCACCACAAAGCTGCCAGAGATTAAGCAGCTTAGGTCAATCTTCAGCTTCCCCTCATCAACCTTCTGGGTCAACTTTATCATATCTGAGTTCCCAATATTCACCTCAGCCCGCCAGTTTGCACATCCATTAATAAATATGTCATGCTTCTCAAAAATGAAGTTATCGTCAATCTTTACCATTTTAGCCTCCAGAAGAACCTGATCTAGTTCTCCCTCAACCTCAAGGCAAATGTCCTTATTGGTCTCCCCTGGGCTGTGATTAAACCTAGTGTGACCAATCATTATGACTGACTTTCTGGTTTTAGGACAGTGGCGAGTTACAGCTACAACATCCTTAGTGAGCTGGTCAACATACACCTCAGTGTAACCCTCCTCGGCCAATCTAATGTGAAGCTTGGTTATCTCTCGTCTAGCCACCAGCATCCCAGACTCAATATCTAGTCGGGAAAGGTTGGAATAGCTCCGGGACTCTTCAACAACATGAATGTGATGAGGAACTAGCTCATCATAGCCTCTATTGGAACCAACTGCACATGAGGCCATACTGACCAGTCCAGCTGATGGTAGCATGTCCTCAATTGTCCTTTTCTCAACTGGGCTTGGGTTGTCATGGGTCCAGTCAAGGAACAAAGCATGGGCAACTGTCCCTGTTAAACGCTGTGGTCCATGACTGGTGGAAAATGCACCAACCGGTTTCCCGCCGTATTTGTAGACTAAACGACCCAGCTCATGGCTGTTCCAGGCAGATAATCCTTCCCTAATTAGACTAGTTATTCCTAGTTTGTTAACAAATATATTGTCTTTCTCCTCACTTCCAGTAAACAGTTCTGCAACAACATATAGGTCCTTGTTCACCTTCCTTGCAGCATCCAGCATATAGCTTGCCACATGAAGCGGAGTAGAATGGCAATTATCCAAACGGATTCCATCAAACAAAGTTGCCATCTGTACCGTATACTTTTTCATGTACTCCCAAATGAAGGGAGAGTCCTCAGGTTTGTCTCCATAACGGAGTTTGACAGAGTCCCCCCAAGCCACCAACTCCCTCCTAAGGTAAACCTGGGAGCCAGGCAGAGCAAAGTTTCTAAGGGGGTCATCTCCCATCACCCATCCGTTATGTGCCATGCACAGACCACCTTCTGTCATGTACAACAGCTCCATTTCAGACTCTAAGCTTTCCTTACTTGGGCATGTAAAGTATGGAGTAACAAATTCATTTGCTGCATCGCATTTTTTATGCCTAGGTCCAGCTGGATCAATACGTTCATACCTTGCTCCCTTGAATGCATTCTCCACCCCTACCCTGAGGATGGTCTGGACCTCTTCTCCTTTGACTTTGTTTAACCAGGTCAAGGTGTCCCTAAAACCATTCACACAGAGAGCTCTTCTCTGATCCTCGGAACCAGCATCAGATCGGTTAAGGTTAAAAAGACGGAGAGCAAGTTCTAGATCCACAGTGCAACCAAATCTCCTAATAAGAAATAGGACAAATTAAAAAAAAATATTCATGTATTAAACCAAACTGTCAAGTACCAAAAACCAAGCTATCTTTTTACTCAGTTACACAAATTACTCAATCACACAAAAGTGTCTGAATTGACACATGAGTTGTTCATTTGCACATTTTATGACTTTTATGATTTATGATATCACATTTAGCTTTCTTCCAATAATCCCAATTGAGTTGATAAAAAAAAACAATTTATTTATTTACCTGTATTCGGTATCTTGAATGATCTTCAGGTGATCTAAATAAACAAAAAAAAATGTGCAGTCTGATAAAAGAACAAAAATTTTACCTTCTGATAAAAGGACAAAAAAGTACCATCTGATAAAAGAACAAAAAATGTTACCATCTGATAGAAGAAAAAAAAAAGCTATCATCTGATTAAAGAACAAAAAAATGTTACAATCTGATGAAAAAACAAAAAAATACCATCTGATAAAAGAAAAAAAAGCTAAGCTACCATCTAATAAAAGAACAAAAAAATGTTACAATCTGATGAAAAAACAAAAAAAGTACCAACTGATGAAAGAACAAAAAATGTTACCATCTGATAAAAGAACTAAAAATGTTACAATCTGATATAAGAACAAAAAAAGTACCACCTGATAAAAGAAAAAAATATCACCATCTACTAAAAGAACAAAAAATGTAACCATCTGATAAAGGAACAAATAATCTTACTATCTGATAAAAGCCACAAAAAAAACAAAAAAATTAAAATCAGTAATATTTAGCCTTTTTTACATTTCATAATAAAAAAATATTGAATTTAAAAACCTGTGATAGAAGATGTTGATTCGTCCACTGGAGTTGCATTTACAAGACTAATTTTATAATAATTGACATCCAACTATTCCATTTTAAGATTGTAAATAGAGATCATCAAATTAATTAAATCAAAAAAGGATCGAAGGTGGTTTAGTGAATCATGTCTACTTAATACTTTTACAGTGGGACCAACAAAACTGTGGACTAGGAAGACGACAGTAAAGGGAGAGAACAGCTATGTAACATATTTGAGCTGAAAGTGCAGTATTGTAGAGAACCACTTTAGAATTCATTTGATACCAATGAAACATTTTTACGGCGTAAAATTTGTAAACACGAGTGTAAAGTCGTCTGTAAGTTTCACCAGTTGTTTCAGCCAGCAAAAGGAAACGTTTTTTACAATTATTTAATAACCCGGACGGACAAAACATGTACGAATAATTAGTTTATTAACTAATTTGCTGTTTAGGAACATATTTCATCAATGAAAGCCAAAGTAGAACCGTCGAATTGATTATCTTTATCATTATTACTTTTGCTGTTACTACAATTTTTCGCAGATTTCTTTAAAATGTCGTCTTCAACATTAAAATAATGAAAACCTCCAACAAGCGACCCTAGCTGAAAGAATTTGCATAAACCTGCGAGATTTAAAAATGAATTTAAATAACTAATTTCCAATGATAGTTCTTTTTTCTCATTCTGTTTGAATACATGCCACTAGGTTGTAGAATATTTGAGGCTGGCTAAACCATCCTAACTCAATATATCCTTTAAGTACAGCAAGTTGGGTTGGCAAGCTTCACCCAAATTGCCAGGAACAATCCCTTAAGACTCTTGAACTTTAGACTGCTCATACCAGTGGACCGGAGCGCGGACGGATAGAAGCGCGAGTACGAGGTGACTCCTTGGCTGGACGGCTCTGAAGAGCTCACTCCTATCTGATCTGTCGGAAAGATCTGTCGTTTGTGCATATATTGGAAAAGCTTTATTGTTAGTATGAATATTCTTTTTTATTTCAGATAAAATGAGGTCTTGAGAAGTCTCAAGTATCCTTATCTATATTTAGAAATTGTATTTGTTACATGTGTTATTTAAGAATTATAAAAATCTTTTCTTCTGCTGGCTGAAACAGCAGGCAAAATGTTACGCTCTTATTTAAAATTGTATACCGTAAAAATGTCTCATTATTATCAAATGAATCCTGAAGTTTTCCTCTACATTACTGCACTTTTAGTTCGAATATGTTACATAGCGGGTCTCTCCCTTTAAAGTAATCAAAAGTTTGTTTGATGTTATAAAGCAAATAGTTTTACCAGTATCTTGAAAATACACTAATGTGTTTTAAGTTCATTGGACTTTTAAAAATCATAACTTGAGTCTAAAAGTCGTCTTTCATTTAAAAATTTAGCTAAGGTTTTTTTTTAATTAAGTTGACAAATAAAAATCCTTGTAATGTAACTAAGCAAATTTTTACGATGATGAAAAAATTGTTAAAAAATGAAATAAATATTATTTAAGTTCCTGGCAAACTGTTCCACTAACTTCCCAACATCAACCTGGATAATCATGATTAAAGGGGATTCTAGAGTTTAAATGTAATTTCATAATTACAAAATTTTGTGATTATCACGTTAATGTAATTTAGGTGATTATCTAATAGGGACATATGCCTTTACACATTTTATCAAACAAAAGGTGAAATGTATCGTCGTTGTGCGCGATTCTGCACAGTTCCGCGCAATGGAGTTCCGTTTTGAAACCCTAATGTATATAAATTGATAGATAGATAGATAGATAGACACCTTAAAAAGATGTTCTATCTTGGAAGATATCTGTCAAAAGATGTAGATAGATAGATGGATAGATAGATAGATAGATAGATAGATAGACAGATAGACAGATAGATAGATAGATAGATAGATAGATAGATAGATAGATAGATAGATAGATAGATAGATAGATAGATAGATAGATAGATAGATAGATAGATAGATAGATAGATACCTGAAAGAGCTGTTCTATCTGTACTCTAGGTAGATATTTGTCAAAGATGAGCTGTTGACAGATCTCTAGCTGGTGGCAGGTTTCAACAACACCTTGAGGTACTCCAGCATCTACCCAGACACCATCACCTTCACAAAGGTGTTAAAGTAACCCTCCCTACATTTAAAGATGTCAATGCTCGATTCACAGCGGTACTTTGGAAACCTCTATCTGATCAATAATTAGTAAGATATTGTCGTTTTTTATTAAAGTGTTTAATTCTAATAATAACTATTTGTTTTCCTGTAGTAGAAATACGCAAGTCTCTTTTTAAAGAAACCACAGATAAAAACGGTTTTCAAAATTATAAACTAGACAAAACTTTTAAGGGCACCGTTGTGAATCGGTCTTTACCATCTTTGCATGAGGGGTCGCTTAAAAGTACACTCACGGTCTCTTTGAGAATGCTTTGCACCTTCAAGAATTTGAGAGCGCTTCCAGTTGTTTTTTTCTTATGTCATTTTTTATATTTAAATGTTGCTTTTTCAAGACGTAATTTTTTCCGCATTCATATATCGTAAAAACTCTCTGATTTTTCTGTTTCCATTCATGGATTTCTAAAAATTAAAAAAAAAACATTTTTCCAATTTCTTTTATTTCGACCTACCATAAATCTTCCCTGGCGTCATATTAGATTAAAAAAAAAGAATTTTGACCATTTTGACGTTAATTGAAGAAAAACAAACAACAAATAAAACAGACAGACAAGCAAAACATGGATTCAGATTAACCAATATAAAGCAGTATAAAAGTAATCTTTGTCATCTTTGTCATCTTTGTCATCTTTATCATCTTTATCATCTTTATCATCTTTATCATCTTTATCATATTAATCATCTTTATCATCTTTATCATCTTTATCATCTTTATCATCTTTGTCATCTTTATCATCTTTATCATATTTATCATCTTTATCATCTTTATCATCTTCATCATCTTTATCATCTTTATCATCTTTATCATCTTTATCATCTTTATCATATTTATCATCTTTATCATCTTTATCATCTTTATCATCTTTATCAACTTTATCAACTTTATCATCTTTATCATCTTTATCATCTTTATCATCTTTATCCTCCATATCATCTTTATCAGCTTTTCTAATGTTTTCTAATAAGAAACGTCAAAACAGAGAAACATTAGAAACATTGACAGAGATACATTGACAGAGATACATTAGATACATTGGTAGAGATAAATTGACAGAGATACATTGGCAGAGATACACTGATAGAGTAACATTAGAATTGGTCACCGTGCAGATTTTAAAAAAACTAACTAAACAATAAAAATCGCCCCTTCCGCGTTTCTGTTTATAATCTTAAATGGCGCGCAAAATTTCAGAATTTATCGGTTTCATATACGCGACTCTGATTGGTTGAATTTTATACACTTTTCAGGATACAAGTACAAGATTAGGCTAGTCGCGATGTTAAGAAAAAAAAGGGTCAATCATTAATCTCGATATCCACAATTCTAAAGTTTTCAGCTCAGAACACTTTTGAAGAAAAAACAAAAACGATTTAAAACTGATTTTTTTTCGAATCAAAATAAATTTTTAATTTTCTGATATTGGTTTTACCTATATCTAACCCTAGTCTGGCGAATGCTCTATCCAGGAGGAAGGCGGGACGGAGATGGGCGGAGTTTACCAGGTTATAAGTTGCATCCGCTTCCTCCGCCAACCAAATCGTCTCATTCGCCGTATGATTAAGGACAATATCTACAATAGAGAGGATACTGTTCTCCTCCCGTAACCAGCTCAGAATATTGTCAACCTAAATTTTAAATAAATTCAAAAGAATTAAATAAATAAGCTTTTTTAATTCAATAAATAAATGAATAATTAAATAAATGAATAAATGAATAAATGAATAAATGAACAAGTGAACCAGTGAACAAGTATACAAATGAACAAGTGAACAAGTGAACAAGTGAACAAGTGAACAAGTGAACAAGTGAACAAGTGAACAAGTGAACAAGTGAACAAGTGAAAAAGTGAAACAAGTGAACAAGTGAACAAGTGAACATCATTTCGGATCGTTTATGATTATAAATTGCGATTTTCGGGGACTTATCAGTAGAAGAAAGAAAATATCAATTTTAAAAATCGTATAAACCTAATATAAAACTTTGCAATAGGAAAACACTAGGTTTTTCAGCGTTAAATCTTCGAGATAACCCAATATGATATGGGAGCCTCTGTAAATAAATAATTAAATCTGAGAGATTGAAGTTTGCAGCAGCATATTCGATCCCCTCCGCTGGAGCGGAGGCCGCCGGAGGAAAATCGTTTTCAACGGAGGTAATGTTTTTTTGTTTTGTTCACTGCTAATTAATACTTCGGAGGGACGGTAATTTACATTTAGGACACAAATTACTTTATCGGAGGGATGCAAAGTAACGCTCAGAACACAAGTTACTCCACATAATAGATGGTAATTAACTTTTGGAACACTAATTACTCCGCATGGAAGGATGTAAATTAACACTTAGGACACTAATTACTCTACCGAAGGGATGGTAATTAACACTCAGGACACTAATTACTCTACCG